CCCCCCCTCCATAAGAGCGCCCGTGAAACCGGGGTACCCCGGCCCGAAGGTCGCTTCCCCGGAGGGACGCGCCGCTCCGCGCTCACCGGCGTGCGGAGAGCCTCCCGTTCGGGCTGAAAAAAAATCCGGAGAAAGGCATCGGTCACACGCCGGGTTCTTCTCTGTGGCCGCGGGAAGTGACAGTTTGCACGGAAAGCAGAAATGCTAAAAAATCCCCGAACTACCACCACCCCCCAAAAACCCATATTTTTTAAGATTTTTTTAAATTTTTTTTTTATTTATTTCGTTAGTCTTCATTAGGTCGACATTTGGATGTAGCCACCTTCCAGGTATACCTGAAAAGCATATTTTTAACTGCCGTAACGAAGACAGAAGGGTTAACACGCAGGAAGGTTTAAACCTACCCAGATATTCTGTTTTCATTTATAATGGCGATTTTTATTTTCATTTTTTTTTCAAGATGGATTCCAGCTATATTATTGACTGCAAGCTAAATTTAACATTTTTCAGTTTGGCACAAAGTCTGTTGCTATGCACCACACGCACACGCACACATGGGCACATACACACACATATCTTATAGAAGAAGAAGCAATGTAGCAATATTTTTGTTGTGACAGTGAATTTTCTACTAAAATGATCATTTACAGGTACATATCTTTTTGTTGTTGTTAATAAGGATGAGGAATATCCACATAGGAAAGGATACTGATCTTGCATTTCCTTTTTTTTTTTTTTATTTATTATTAAATTGCCTTTATTCTCCTTTCCAGAGACAAAGAAAGGTCTTGAAGCTGCAGATACTCAGATGTCAATACAAGTAGATAACCTGAACGGTTTGAGGTCCTTTACCCACCACTGATTCCTGATGAGTTTCGTTTCATTTGAGTCATTTCACCAGAGAATTCTGTACTAGCTTCTCCCTGTACTTGTGTCACCGTCTCTCTCCCACCACAAGATGAGACGAGCCTGAAAAAGAAAAAGGGAGCGAACTTTAACATTCTGAGCTTATGGACCCTAATGGCGTTGTTTTGGGTGGAATGGCAGAGCGACTGCAGCCTTTCCTCACCCTCTCCCCCAGCCTGGTCCCTCCCAGCAGTCAGGCTGTGTGCTCCACGGTGAAACCCACCACTGAATTCTGTGAAAGGAGCAAATGGTGTCACTGTCCCATTAAGATGCCAGAAGAAAGCTTGCATTCAGGTGGTCCTCACTGTGCCCTGGGCAGTGAGATGTACCAGCACTCACTTTTAATAAATACTTAATGCAATATTGCCAATCTTTAACAGGAGCACAGGTAAGTCACAAACATACATTTTTTTCCACCTAGGTCTGAAAAGTCCCCTTATGTATATCAAATGAGGTTAAAAAGCAGAAAAGATCTCAGTTTGAAGAGTGTATTTTAATATTTCATAATAAAATAAAAAATTCTGTTTGCCTTGTTTACAGCTGTACAATGAACTAAAATATAAACAAGATTAAGATGATGCAAAATACAAAAATGAAATCTAGAAAAATTCCACTTTTTGAACTAATTGCCTTTACAGTTATGGAAAGGACTTAAATCTCGAAACTGTTTTAGTTGCTTGGTTTCGTTTGGGTTGGGTTGGTTGGGTTTTTTGGTGTCATAGAGAACAGTGCTACTCCACACATGCATCAAGACCTTTGTCAGATACAGTAAGAATAATTCATTGTGATGCCTGCTTTGTCTGGTTAGATAGTAAAATGCTATTTTATTGTTTATATTAAACCATGGATAAATGCTAAACTAAGTTTGGATCCCACCATACTGGGCAGTACACAATGAGTGACTTTACCTGAGTCAAACAGTTTATAGGTGAAGGTCCTGAAGCCACCTTCTGTCATGAGAGTGTCAAACTTGCCACATCTTCCAAGTTAAAGACCTACAGAACACAGCACAGCAGGCAGGTAAAATAAAAGTGACACAAGTAAGAAGTTAATGACCAATTACAACCGGGGTGTTTGTACAGACTATTTGTGGCGAGTTAATAACAACTGCCATGGCAATTACAACTGATACCACCCTGGCTGTTGATTTTCTAATGCATATTTTATGCATTAGGAGTGCATATTCTTCATTACAGAATTGTGAATATGTCCATGTACACATCATGTACTATGTGTGCTTGTGTATATGAATGTGCACGTAATATTCCAGATTTATATCATCATGTCAGACCATGTAGAAAAAATGTCAAATTATGTGGGCATATTCTACTGTTGGTGTGCCAGAGAGAAATAGAAGATTTCAACTGAGATGAGTAAGTACAAAAGGACAGTATGGGCTAGTGAATCAGCAAGAAAACAGTTTAATCAGAATTTAATAACAGGGAGAAAAGGCTGATAATAATATAAGGCCCTCTTCAGCTCTCTATTTTTCATAACAGTCCCATGCTAATCGAAAAGATGCAAGCAGGCAAAGGAGAAAAAAGAAATTTATAGGTGAAAGTAATTTATGACCGTGTACTAAGAATAGATATACTCATTAACACTGTGCGTAAAAAAATCAGACTACATTACTGGGAATCACATTCAATACTTTTTGCCCAAGAAAAGAATCTAGCAAGAGGTAATCTTAAAACCAGAAGATTATATCCTTATATGCATTCTTCTAAATCCACGATAAAAGCTCATATAAAAATGCATTAGTTCAGAATCTGAACAAAGCATCAACAACGGGACTGTTAATAATAAGCATCAATCACTTGTTGAAAGGAACATAGCAGTGCAATAATAATGAAAACAGTGACAGATGACAGAAGGCCAGATATCAAATAATAAGATGTCAAACCCCTAAAAAGGCCCGGTGCTTAATCCTGATTCCATAGAAGTCCAGGGGAGATTTGCTACTTATTGAAAAGAATGCAGATTCAATCAGGGCTACATTTGATTTAATAGATTCTAATGGATGATATTCTGAACATAAGGTAGAAGTTGGTGCAGGAGCTAAAGAGGGCTAATATATGTGCTAATCAGAAATAAACAGGAGTTTATCAGGAATACATTTCCTCAGCGATTCATCCTGGCACAATCCTGGTTGAGACAGTGGCTGCAACTCAACCAAATGTTCGTATGTTTCAGCAGGTGCATGAGAGACGTGGAAAGGAACTTGAAAATGACTGAAGAACTGGGAATTTTTGCTATACACTCAGAAATGTTCAGCAGTTGCTCCATATACTTATCAAAAAGATAATTCAGGAATAACTTGTTGACATGGAGTACATACTTCAGGAAAGTGACGTTGATAACATAAAGCGTCTGAGGAGATGGATGCAGTGAACCCCCCAGTATTTGAATGCTGATATTAAAAATATTCAGAATAGAAATAAAGTTTTGTTTTGCTGGTTTAGTAATGGGTCATTGACCATGGTAATCACATGCCGAGCGTTGTAGTGAATTTCCCAGCCCTGGAAAATACTCTGTTAAAATCGGGTTCTTTTCTAAAATCCTTGTTGAAAAAGTTAAATTCTCAGATGGCCCTTGGCTAGAGCTCAGACTAAATGGTTGTGGCGGTCCCTTCTCGCCTTATATGCCATGGAGATTTGTTTTTTGTATTCAGAATTACTGTCATTTTTTTTTTTTTTCATTAGAAAAAGCTTTTTAAATAGGCAGGTTTTGTAGGATGCAAAAATGATGTACCGATGTATGAATCCTTTGATTCTAGGGCTGGTCAAGAAAGTCTTCCCTTCAAAAAAGACCGTTGTCTTTGGATTTTTGAAATCTGCAGAACTTTTGCAAATACCGGTCAATGTAAATAAAGAGGAAATACAAATGAAAGTTTCCAGTTCCAAATCTTTCTTACATTGTTTAGTCCCATATGTTCATTCTGGATCTCAAGAGTCTTTTTAAAAATAAAAAGTACATCCTGATCTCCCGTGCTCGTTCTGCCTCAGCCTCTGATTAGCAAACACATACTGTTCCCATTAACACTACATAGACCCGGGGACGACACGCATTGAGGAACAGTTTATGCTTCTGTGATTCTGATGGTGAAAAAAGCAGCATCACTACACTGTGGTATAATTAATGTAAAATAATTACTGATAATTGTACACCTTTAAGTTCCCTTTGCTATACAGTAGCTGTGACAGTGCAGTTTGTTACTGACTTAGCTAGCCATTGTGAGGAATCTATAGTGAATTGGGATTTACTATTTTAGCTGAGTTATTTGTGTTCTTGCTATTTGCAAGAAACATTATATGTATTTTGCAGATAAAATCACGTAGGTATATGCTGAAATATCTATGTGCATGAAAAATCTGCTATAGAGTATTTCAGTTTATTCTACTGAGATTATAGAAAATTATATTATTAATGCTCCGGAAAAAGATAAAAGGAACCCTTTCAGATTAGAATATGCATGCTACATCCATGATTCTTATCTGGCAACATCTCCTCTTTTCTTCCAACAGTATAAACAACTTCCACTGCTTTGTCTCTCAGTCCCAAGGAATACATTTCTAATTCCTGTCCTAGCTTTTCCCTGCCTACATGCTACCTCTCTTCTTCCTTGCTGTCTCCTTCTTTGCCTGATCTCCGTCTGGTTTTCCAAAGCATCACCATCAGAATATTTCTTTTCTCTCCTGTTATTTTGATTTTACCATCGCCATTCCCTCTGTGGAGCACAGCTAATTCGAATGTGTTGGTTTTTTGCCTTAGACTGCAACAGCCAGCCTTGATCCCTTCTCTTTTCATCTGCCACCTCGCCCATCTGTTCCACAACCAATGCCAGCCTTGACTCCCGTGTTGTTTTTCATTCTCATCATGTTCTTATTCCTTTTTCCATGCTGATGTCCATGTTTGAAATATGAAACCTACACCCATTTTTCAGGTCAGTTCTTAATCATTGAAATTCCTCTTTAGCTTTGCATCTTTTCTGTCACCTGTGAGAAATGTATTACTCATTATTCATAACAAAAAGCCCTTTGGGGATGATGAAGACATCAGATTTCATATACTGGTGGACTGTACTCTGCTGAGGTACGGTACGTGTCAAATCGCCTCTCCATCTCAGCTCCCTGCATTCATAAACAACAGGCTAAAAAGTTAAAAGGCAAATACAAGCTGACAAGAATGTTACAGTGCGCTCTCTATTGGCATATCTGCAGTACACTTTTGTTGTTACTCATTCTCTGCTTTCTACTCACTTGTGAATTGGGCCTTTTTTCAGTACAACAGAAGCAATTTCCCCAAAACTGGGTGTTTTCTCCTCAGCGATCACATCACCATGCGTTGATCTCACATCTTCAGAATCCAAAGCGATGACAGTGAGGAGCAGCTCCAGGTCCATAAATTACAGAGAGATTGGAAAACAAGGATAATATGTGCCATTCATAATAACACCTTTGCTCAAACATTCCTTATGACTGCACTTGGCGTTATGAATATTGTAGGAAGCTGTTTCTGTCATTGTAGTGAGTGTGCTGAGGCCATACTTTGAACAATGATACTACACAAATATCAGCCCGTGCAAAATGGACCGTGTAATGATCATTCTCGAGATGGAGAAGGTGCGTTCTTGATTTAATGTTTCATTCATAAAAACCACCCATAAAACATATGCCTACTCCAGCTACCTTAGAAACTTGGGGAAATCAACTGATCTTTTCTGAATTTGAACCTGTTGCAAATCTGGTACCTTGACAAGGTCAAAGCGCGTCAGCGACTTGACTGCTCTTTGTATCCTGACAAGGTAAAATTAGTACATGAACACTGAGCTCATAGAGAACGGAAGTTCTGACAGCGATATTGCACTGCTAGTCAATACTCTAATTTATTTTATAACCTCACACAGCATTTGGAATAGCGTTCAAATAAGCTTTGCAGAGATGCTTTCAACCACAGCAGAACTAATGAATCCCTAACTTTTGCGTTGAACTCCTTAATCCACGTAAGACAGCTTCTCATAGGATTTTGCAGTGCAGGAGTGAATCTCTCCTACTTAACTTCTTGCCTGGAACACCACCTGTGCCACCTCATTCACATCCTTTGTCCAAGAGCTCTTTGAAGAAGCAGGAAAGCTGCAACGACAACGCTAGTGTTAACCCTGCTGTCAGGATGGAGACCAAACTGGTCAGGAGCCAACCTAGGGGAGGGGGAAAGGGCGGTGTGTCACCTCTGTCACCCATGGCTGGGATGCCCAATTCCAAGCTGCTCCACAGAGCACAGGCAATTTGGCTAGCTGTCAGCATAGTGAGATATATGGTGGTAACAGACTGCTTTTCTGCTCCCTCCACAGTAAAGTAGAACAAAATTCACTGCCGTCGCCAAGGGAGTAAATGAAACCTCCATTTTTCTTCTTTTGTAGGGGTGTTTCCCTTTCGAGCCTTGTGGAAGTATCAAAAAATACACAGGCATTCGTTTCCATTTGTACCATCACCACTGCTCACAGTCTTAACCACTTTACACTGAACTAGCAACATAATATGGTCTGATGCATATGCGGGTAACTGAGAATTAGGCCATAGATTCATTTATAAGCAAATTGTGTGAAGCTGGATTTTTTTTTTAATTTTAAAAAGTAAAAAATCCCTTATTTTAAAAAGAGACGTTCATGTTATGCATTTAGTTTAAACAACAGTTATGTTATACTACATTTATTGAGATCACTTTTTAGTCTTATAGCTTTGTCAGGGCTTTTGTCACTAGAAAAACAAAGCAAAATTTAAGCTATACTGAATAAGAGACTAAACACAGATCAGTCAAATGTTCCCTATTAAGTTTTTCATAAAAAAAAAATAAAAATTATTTGAATCATAGAAAAACACATGAGCAAAGGTTAAGTAATGTATTTTATGACACAAATAAGTAAATGACAAATTGTATTGTTGCAGAAATTATACTGTGGAGTTCAAGCACTTAGCAATATTAAAATAAGTTAAGTTGGAGGAACAGACAGAATTGCATCAGACAAGACAATAATTCCTTTCTTCAGAAAATATCCAAAAGACAAAAAGATTTTGTTCAGTTCAATTACCCACTACAGGCATTTTATGCTATTTTTTGAAAAGTCACATTAAAAACCGGATATAAAATGAAAAGAACTGTTGTAATTTGAAACATCAGCTCTCTTATCCTTATCATTATGATCTTCCAGTAACAGGATTATCTTTTGGGTTTACTGTTTACTTGTTTGGCATCAATTACTTTTATTTTGAGGAAATCATCTAGTCAAGAAACAGCTCACTCAAGTTATCACAGAAATGTACAGAGTTGTGCTCAACAAAAGTTTATTTTTAGTTCTGAAAAACCACTTCAGTGGTTCAGTCCCAGAACTAGTTCACAGCACAGATAGGATATATTTTTACTCTCACCTCTGCATAGGCATATCTTCCCAGAGATTAACTGTGATAAAGCATGGTGCTAATGACAAGCTTTTACAGAAGGAAAAACAGCAGTCCAGAAATCTAAGAAAAAAGAAACAGTTCTCATGAGGCACTTAATTACATACTTTGGACTAGAAATACATCTACATCATAGTAAATGAGCAGAAAATAACATTCTTCTAATTGCATAATTGCTGTAAATATAGGATTTAATTGCAGAGCTTATAGTAGAAAAAATTCTGCTTATAATATTCGTGGTATTAAAGACAACCTAAATGATGCTGCTTGTCTTTACTGATACTTTGTTTGTGTTCCAGGGGAAAGTTGTCTTACACAGATTAGCTGCAAGCCATTATTAGAGTCTACATAGTTGGCATTTAACCCGAGACTTATCTTATTCCCTGCTAATTGCATTGCTGTAATAAGATGTACACATAGGGATGACGTGTGCACGCAGCTGCGTTAAGAACAATTTTAAATTTACAGTTTCCTTTCATTACAGGTCAACATACGCAGCACGATGCATCGAGGGATTAAAAAGGAGGCAAGCTGATGGGGTTTCAAGAGCAGCTCGAAGATGGTAGTTATGAGCACACAACAAAAACCTAACCTTGAACTTGGAAACAACACTGTCCTGAGTCTAAACCAGCTACAAAGCAAAACAGCCTACGGACAGAGAAAGGATTTATGCCACAGCTAGAAACATGTGGCCAAAGGCAGGCGCAGTCCTATAGGGATCCATGATCCTCTGTCATATATTGTGGTTGTCCTCAGCTTGTCAGTACCAGCTGTAGATACCGTGCCTGTAGCATTTATGCCTTTCTGTTTCCCAGTTTCTATAACTAAAATCACAAAAAGTGTTTGCTGATGGTATCTGAAGTAAATATGAGTTCTGAAAGGCATTTTCTGGAGGAGAACTCTCACCAATGTCTGCCTGCATTCTGCTGGGCTCCCTATGGTTTTAGTAGTAATAAGAAAATAGGACCTTAATTTTAGAGGTTGGTCAGCTGTAGCAAATAAATGTCAAAGGCAATGAAATGAGCCTAACCAAAATACACAAGCTCTCCTTTAGAAAAAACAAGGGAAATATAAAGAGATTGGAAACTGCTAGCCTCAAACATATATCCAGAATAATCCAGTTCTTACTGATGTTTTCATACCAGAATAGTAGCAAGAGTTCAGATTTCTTTTCTTCGCAGTGAGAAGAGCTGGGTTATTTGAGGCAGTTAGGGAAAATCACAAGTCTCACAAGCACTGACTGCTGCTGCTGAACAAGACAGCAGAATGCAATATTACTTCTTCACAGCTATTGCAGTGCTGCACTAAAAAAATGTCTGTAATGTAAATGTTATGCTTTGGAGTGGGATTTTCTCTATTAATCCTCTGATTAGTTTATAATTTTATTAATTATAACTCATCTCAATACAGTGTCTCATTAGAACACCACAAAATTTGGTGTTATTGACAAACGATTGTGCAGTACATATGGATAATCAATTACAGTAACATCCCATGAAACAACAGTGAAATTAAATGGATTGAAAATGCCTCCCTTCATGGGCTCCTGCAATCGTTTGCTTTGAATGTCAACAATGAAGGAAACCCCTGGTTTCTGACAAGAGCAGTCTTGGGCTTCCACTCCATCCAGGGGGAGGCAGTAAGCAATCCATGAATCAGGCAGGTGTGTGGCATTTGCTTTTAGCTTTCTGCATATAAACCAGCCCCCAGGTGACTATAGCCACACCGCTGTTGGGTCGTGCCCTATAAATGTGAGGCTCTCAGCTGATGTGAGCTTTCCACCTCAAGGACTTAGCTAACAAGCCCCAGGTAAGATATCTATACTTTTCAGTATCCCTTTTATTAATTTATTTACTAGTCATTAACTTAATACACAATTTATCACTATATAGCATTACTAATATTAGCAATCTAGAATAAATGACATGCCAAATAATCACTGTTTTTCTTTAAAAAATAATACTTATTGATTCTATTATATGTGACAAAACTTGTCCTGTGCTTGCAATTGAAGGATCTACTCCAGCATGTGATTTAATATTCTGTGGTCCATATAGCTCACTCTGTGCCATGGCAGGGAATGATTTATTTTACAGGGAACTGAAAAAAGACATGGTATGATATTGATGTACTTTGAAAATACTCGTGGAACAAAATAATAACAATGGAAGGGAAAAACACTAGTAAGTCATTAAATCCTGACAAGATGTTTTCAAGAAACTTTAGTCTTAAGAATGCTATTATATTAAATAAAAATATTTATATCAATGAATAATTTTATACTGCTTTAATAGATGCAACTCCTTCCTTGGTTATTCTGCAGATTTTTCAGTGGGATTCATATCTGAGGAAGGAACAGTGAGGTTATTTTAAGAATCCTTTTTAGAGATCAGAAAAGAGGAATATTGAAGGGAAGAATGTATATATACAGCGGTTTTGATCCTTCTCTGAGAGTAAATCAGAAAGAACTACAGTGTAAAGCCATTGTAAATGAGAGTAATATCAGATGCATGGTATCAAGTCAAACTACTTCCAGAAATGTTAAGACCAGGGGAAGACAAATACAGATATCACTAGTGTATACCGCTGAATCTATTATTAATAATGACTGAAATAATTTTTATTATTATTTGTGTGAGTTACAGTAGTGCCTTAAGGCCGTATGCAACATATAGCAATGGATTATTTTTCATCCCAGCCACGTCCAATCAAAACTAAAGGCCTTAGCGCAACGGAAAGCAGCGCTGTTATCATCTATCATTTGATGCAGAGGAATGTAAAGAAACAGAGGAAATGGTCTGCCCAACTTGCACAGGAGACCTGGGAAGGGACACTTGGCTCTCTTTTATTACTGGATACTGTGCTGAGCTACAGGCCATCAGTTGTGTGTCACGTTCAAACTTAAGCTACATGTGGAGCCATGCCCTCAGTCATGCGCAGTGCGCCTCTCGGTCACCAGCAGTCATTTTACTGCTTGGTCAGAGAAGAAATAATTTCATCAATTGAATTCTTGCAGCACGAGCTGGCAGAAAGTGTGTGTTATGGGAGAGCTTGCTGGTCAGGCAGAGGTATGAGGTTGGTATGGACAAGACTGCCTAGTCTTCTCCATACAGCCTTATTTTTCTTTCCAGCCGAGAAATGAAAACTGTTGAAAGATTCAATGCTGTCCTGTCTTTTAAGGCTGGAATCTCCTTTCAGCCAAAATAATTTATTCCAATTGTCAAAGCTCATCAGACTCTCAGCATGAGTCTTGCATAAATGGATTTATTCCTGGCTGTTTCATTTGCACACTCCATGAAATTTTTTTCTACCTATTTAATTTCATCAAGACTTTCTTCACAGAGACTAGTAAACTTGCTGCAAGAGCACTGTAATGTAAAAGACACTATCTCTTTTTTGTATTCCTGTGGAAAAAAGTAGGATAAACCACAATATGCTTTAATAATTCATATACTTAGAAAACTTCCCATTTTAAGATGCTCTTCCTGAAATGGAAACAATATGGAAGTATACGATAAATAAAGCAATAAAGCCATGCTTATGGGTAGCAGATAATAAAGTGCTGCCAACTTGGATACGCATTTTCTGTTTAAAGTCTCCCATGGTGGAATTCATAATATTCTGTAATCTACAGTAGTGGTGTAAAATACTCCCATGAAACTGTGGTGTCTGGGAATACTACTATGGCATCATTGTTATTTTTCTAAATAAAGTGCCTCTCTGTTACAAGAAAACTCATCAAGTGGAAAATGTGATGAACATGTAATTGCAAAGGCACAGGGTTTGGGAAACCTGGCTGTGTTTTCCTTTGCCTGTTTTGCATTGAGCTCAGCTGTAAAGGGCAGATCCTGTGCAGGGGCTCTCATCTTTGTCCACCTTTCTGTAGATCATCTGAAGCCTTCTTGGCTTTAAGACCACAGCAAGGGAAGAGCTTTAAGTGCAGAGAAAACAAGCAGGGCCAATATGTTCCTCTCCTGCCATTATGCACATTTGTTTATTCATTTAAGAAATTTATTTATTTAGGAAGATTTCACCTCAGGGAAACAACCAACCAGAAAATCTTAAGAATTAATAAATTAAGACTAAAGTTTAATTCCACGAAGTAGATTATAGCTTACGGTGGATGCTGTATGTCATTTGTATTTGCTTGAAAAAGAAGATTGTTTCTGTAGTAGCCTGATCCTGAAGCACATCCAGAAGGGGAATGGAAGCAGAGCTGCCTCAGAAGCTGACACAATCAGACAGATGTTTTAAAAAGCCTATGAAGATTTTACACCCTACAGTAGGCTGAGGCTAAACAGGATTTGTCAGAATCAGGAGCAGGTAGCAAGATAAGCTTTGTCAAAAGCAGAAACTGATGCTGGGGCGGTATTGGTCAAAAACATTAGTCTTTACAGTCAGATCCTCTCAGAATTATGTCTTTGAAATAGCCAGTCTTCAAATTAATGTTTTCCAATGAGCTGGCCTTTGGGAGTCAAAGAAACAAACAAATTAATCTGAAAGAACAAGCCTGCCTGAGATGCTGATAAATCTGTTATGACAATGTAAGGCTTATTAAACACTGAGAAATGTATTTCCTTAGCCTCTGGGTCAAATACAAGTTTTAAGGTTAATAGAGAAAATCAACATTTAAAAAAATGTCACATGAGCTACTCCTTTTCATATTCTGCTTTTGACAAGAAACTCATGATTCACTTAACTCAAAATGCATGTAGTGAGGTGCTATCCAAATAACACAGTATTCTGGGTTATAAGGACATAACTGAAAGGGGATTATATAGATGACATTAGAATTTGAGAAACAAGGGAGTCTCAGGTCTTTTCATGCATTACCATTCATCTGCTCTTGAACATCAGCACTGGTTTGTCTTCCTGAACTCCATCAGAGTCACACACACGATCTTTGCTCTGACTGTAGGGAGATGAAAGGTAGGACAGCTGAAGTGTATTGCTGAGGAAATAACTCAGTCTTGATAAAAGGAGTGCTTTGCAGAACAGAAAAGCTAAACAGCGCTATTGATTATCATGATGTATGCTACAGAGAAAGAAGGTGGAAACACAGGGGCTGCCTACACACAGCTTTTCCTCTCAGCAGCAGCCGTAGTTTCAGCAGGGATTTTTCTTGCAATTTATGGTGTTACAGAAGGATTCCTCTGAGTTGAAAGGTTTTTGCTGGGGGCAGTGGTACAGCAACTTGACCTGCTACACTCAGGAGGGTTTATTGGGCCCCAAACACTCTTGAGTTTTCTTCCTCAAGTTAAAAATTACTCCCACCGTGGATGTTCATAGAAAGAAACAGACATACAAGGATACATATGGAAAAAACCCAGACTGTCCACTGCCAAAGGCTGAAGAACTCATCAGGAGGAAAACAGTTAGTTACCCAAAACCTTATCCTTTCTACTCCACAGTCCCCACACTTCTCCATTTTAAAGCACGTCACATGGCTTAAGCAATTGCCTGGTGGCACAGAAACTCTTAGTAACCCATGTTGTCTTGCTGGTTGGTTTCTCTCACTGTGAACCATACTTTCAGGCAGTAAGGGGAAAGACCATTAACTTCCCTGTTCTGAAGACCTGTGTTTTATGTATCTGCTGTCTCTGTGTGAAAGTAACAAGAGCCAGGCAGACTTCCGATTTACCTCAGTACTCCAAAGAAGATTTGACTAATGAGCTTGAAGGTCCTTCAGATAACTTCCCTGATTGGAGGGAGTCAGTCAATGCTGTTCTCCAGAACCCTGATAGGCATTGATGTGTTGAGAAAGACCATGCTGAAAAGCAATCAGTGCTTCCCAAAACCAGACTTCACCTCTATGGACAACCTGGAAGCCAAAAAAAGACTTCTATAGCCTTACTCTCAACAGTCTCACCTGTCTTTTTAGTCTTATTTTTCTTTTAAAGAGTTACAATCCAATATTAGCTATTAGAGCTAGGGACTTTAAAACAGAATGGCTCTTTTAACATGTAAAAGGGACAGACTTATAAGCTAGACTCAGTAGGCAACCTTATTCATGCTCAGGTGGGTGAATTCAGCTCATTCTTTTACATGTGCATTGGTTTGGGAAAATTAGTTTCTTTTTTGGCGCTACCGGTGAGCACTTTTGTCAGTACACAGAATTAAATCTGGCAGAAATTCTGTGTGTCATCAAGAGCCATAGAGAGAACATTTTACAGTGGTATCTTTCACATCACCAGTGGGAAAAAATAATTCGGTTCTAGCACGCAGTGCGTCATAGGGCATACACCTACATCTCACAGACAAGGGCTGATAAACACCCACAGGAGCTAACTTTAAACCAACTGTTTGAGCGCAATAGCCGAGGCTGCATAAAGCTTTGTGGGGGTTAACACCAAAGTATATTTTTTAATTTCCTACGCCAGCAGGTAGGCTTCCCAGCCGAGCTCACTGTTACCATGGTTACGTTGCCAACCATCCCCAAGTCAGCTAGTTTAAAGCTAATTTGGATAAGCCTGCATTAGCTGCAGACATTTTAGTGACTGCAGCGTAGACATAGTCATAGCAGTGAGGGTTTCCAGAAAGATTTCAAAATAGCCATGTAATTTTTTAAAAATGTCTGCTGACACTATTTACCACTGATGGAATGAGGACAGGTGCTGGGAGGTAGAGGGGGGGACGACTTTCCTAAGTCAGTCAAAATGCACGGGAGTGCTGCAGGCAGTCCGGATTGTGATTTGATACAATGGCATAGAAAAAAAGCACAATGCAAATTTTATATCTTTAAAAATGCATTTTGTTTTCTGTATTCTGTTTCATCGTTTATTCAGGTGTAGAGCTTCCTATGGCACGAACTAGTTCCTGTATCTTTCTGGCACCACAGATGAGCTTAATTTTTCTTAATTTTTCTTTTTCTTCATTTTTCTTTCTTTTTCTTCAGTAATTTTTTATAGTTATATAAAAATAGGGTAACTTTTATAGCATATTCTAACTATACAGAGCAATTAAATTGTTAGACACAATTAAACTGAGTTGTAAACACAAGCAAGACTATTATTCGGTATCTCTGTATCTGAATTTCCTTTTCTTTTCACGTTACCTTCCCTAATCCCAGAATCAGTATACTGAAGCATCGAGTACAGTGTCCTGTCATTCCTTCATCTGTTATGCACTGCATTTGTACTCATTTCAGCCCTAAGCTACCTCTGTAGCCTGAGAAATCACTTGAAATTGCATATGTTCAGGTTTCACTGCCTTGGAAATAAATAATTTATTGTTATCTATTCTATAAATACCCTCAGCACAAGTCATCCAATAACCATAACTGTAAGCTTCTTTAATTGAAGAAGAGACCAATGGTCTCAGCTGTATTATAACGTCTCTTGATAGATTACCTTAACAGCCATGACAGCTATGACAGATTACTTAAGTAAGTTATTGCCTCTCTACAGAGTGAAATATATTCAAATAAAGATTACTTGGAAGTGCATTTCCTTCAAAATGATTATGCGGCCAGATCAATCTCCGTGGGATTCAGTGAAACTATCCCGAAAGGCAGCGTTACTGCTTTCTCTTTAATGGTTAATAGGGCACTGAAGATGCTCTCTCTTTACCCACACATTTCCTGTTACCAAGTGCAAATTAATTTGAAGACTTTGAAGAATAAAAGCTGCTTGGCAATGTTTCCAAGTGGTCAATCTTCTGTATGCTGCACTTACAGGAATAAACTTCCTTCCTCACTCAAAAGGCAGACTGATCACATACACCATCTCAGCTAGAATTAACTTGAGACTTAAAAAAAAGAGAAGGTGCCAAAACCCACAACAGAGCTGCCCCTCAAACCAGGTGTCAAACATGAGTACAAACAGCATGAGAAAGTAAGGTGTGGATTACTCCGCAGAGCACATTTCACACATCCTAACAGGGAATTAACACGTAGCTGCACATTTACTTTTCAAGTCACATCCTTACTTATTGTATAGCTTAAATTTGTGGATGCAGTTAAGCAATGAATTAATTCATCTCCATGGAAATTCCTGGGGCCGTGTTTGAATGTGTTCTAAAATCCTGAAATAGAAAGCTATCTAAAGGGCTGTATCACTATGAAAGAAAGGAATGAACTGTTTGGATAATACCTCTTGATGCTTAAGAGCCAAGAAAATACTGAGGTTTATGTTGAGGGTAGAACAAAAATTTGTTACTCTCTTACCAGTAAGCAGGAGAACTTGAAGTAAATGTCAGCTGAAACACAGATGGTCTCTCCCTCAGAAACAGATTTTGCTGTCATGCAGTTTGTTCAGACATCATGACTAGTTAATCTAGTTACTAATGAGTTTTAACTAGTAAATTCATGAGCCTCTCCTTTGCTACTACCTGAATGTCTTAATTTCTATAATTTTAAATTCATACTGAAGGGAATGTTTTCATAGCTGTCCATTTTTTATGTCCATTTATCTTTAATTTATTTTTCTACTTTCATATATCACTATCAAGCAATATCCTATACTCCCTATATAGTTTTATATTTGCACCTCACTCTGGAAATAAGTTAACAGGCAGAATTTTACAACTAGAGGGTGCTGGAGGACTATAATGTGATACGGTATGCAAAACTCTCAATGACCTTTAGTGGAAAGAAGAAAAATAAAATAAATCAATTATTACTGCTCAGTAGGACAAGTTAATACATTCCAAGGTAATACAAATACTGCAATATTATCTAGTGTAATAAAAATGAAAATTAATATTTTATAGCTGATACTTTTTTTTTTTAAATTTTGTTTCAAATTTCCTGTTAAACTTTGCTTCTGTCCTCAGTTTTTGTGCTGTAATAATGGAAAAGCCTTTATCTTAACAATACACATTCCTTTTTGCTTCCTTTTGTGTGAGTTGGAAAGCAATTACAGTGTATTATTGATTAAATGTTTTATGATAAAACACAAAAGCCATCAAGTAAGCAGGAAAGCAAGAAAGAACAAAGATTAATTTAACAATAAAATCTATAATTGAGATTATACAGATAGAATGTGGACATTAATTACAGATAAATCATTTAATAAGAGTTCTAACAAGAAAATTATCTTCCAAAATTCATATAATTTCCAACACAGGGTAATTATTTTCTTGCCTTCCAGTACTGTATGAAAAAATACAAGTATGAGAATAAATAATGTCTATAAATATAGCACTCTGATTGTATGTAGAAAAATTACCCCTCCCTTCCTTCCTCTCTTTGAAATATCCTTATTGCTTCTCAGTCTCTGACAATTCTGTAAATACCTTCAACAGACAGAAATACTGAAACTTTGAACTGGATCTTAAAGATTTATTTTTTTTTTCCTCTGGTTCAACATGGTTCAGTAACATTTGGGATTTCCTTTCAATCTCCTCTGATCAGAGAGAAACCCAAGAGACAAACTGTGGCCATGGGCTAAAGTGACTCCCTGAAATCTCCATGACAAAGTGGCCAGGAAGCTGGTGGAAAGTGCATGACCATATTCTGAAGTGCAGATCTCCATGACCGTATTCTGAAGTGCAGATCCCTTCAACCCAAATGTGAATCATTAAAACCAGGCTCCTGGTGACAAAGTGGCTGTGGTTAGAAAACACCCTGGGCACATGCAGATCTGCCAGATGCCCAGTGAAGCCAGCACAGCACGCTTTGCTCTTTTTATACTCCCACTTCTGACCTTCTGGTTGTGCAAGCTCGCTGAATGTGGACAATATTAACACGATGGGCAATACCCAAGAGATCCAGCAGCCCACTTGCGGCCTGCATTCGCTCAGCACATCCTGAGTGAGCCAGAAATGTAGTACTGCAAGTGTGATTGTGACTGTTCCCTCCCTACGGAAGGTTTTAGTTCTTTAATTCAGTTCCTTCCTCACCTATGAGGAGCCAATAATCCATCCTGCCTTAACTGACTGTGGTGCCCCAGCTTTCCAGGAGGAGACATGTTTCCCTGTGGCACACTGGCAAGGGCTGAGGCACAGTCCCTGGCTGTTCCTGGGGAACACATGCCTCTCAGATGCCTCTGTACAAGCAGCCTGCTTTTGGCTGTGTTTCACCTCATGGCTTGCCCTCAAGAAGGAGTGTACCCTGGCACCCACGGGAGACCACAGGTCCTGCCCTATGCATCCTGGGGAAATCATGCTTTTGTAGTCTCCATGTCATGGGGTTTCCTCTGGAAAATGGAGACCAATCTCCTGTCATAGCAGATTCACACATAGGGCCTTATTCTCCAAAAAGCAGCAGCCAAATCAATGAGTAGGTGAGGGCAGCCATTAATTAACACATAGGCACAAAGCCTCATGATATATTTAAGAATCTCAGCCCCTCGGACCTTTAGACACTCCTTCACTTCTACTGGTGGCCAGGTGTTAGCGTTGGTCACGTGTACTACAACAGGCAAAGAAAAAAGGTATAACTAGTGGTAAACATGGGAATTCATCTTGACAACAACTGGTTTGTTTAAACTGAAAACTCTCAAGGGGATAAATGAAACAAATCAAGTAAAATGTATCCAATGCAACAACAGAAAAATTGTGACATATACTGCAGGCTTGCCAGATGCTACAGAAGATATTATAACCTGATACTGAACTGCATCTTGTGATGTTTCCCCAAAACTCCTGATACCTTTAGTCTAGGAAGTGGTCTGTTTGTTTATGATATATTGTATCTAGCTTGTGCCTAAGGAAATAACAGTCGAAATTTGGCCCAATGTTTTATGGTCAGCATATTCTCACACACTTATGTGTGCCTGCTTGATCAATACAATTGTTGGGTTTCTTTCTAAATGAGCTGTTTTTACAAAATTAGTAATTCTCTGATCTTTATTTTTCTACATAGACAAGATCAGCTTATTCAATGCTGCCTTCGCTTACAAAGTCTAAATAATATGAATTACAACTTAGCTTTTTCTTCAACAGTGCCATCTAAAATTATACAAGAACAAGATGTTTGGCTTTTTTTTTTTTTTCTCTGGAAGTCAGCAGAAAAGCTGTTAAATACTACATATACTAGAATACTGATTTTAATAATACTCAACGTGCACATCAGTTTCATTGTCAGAAACACTTTAAATCTCTGCATGTTACTAATAACTGAAGTTATTCAGCTTTATAATGTAGTATGCATTGTCCTTCATATATATTCCTAAAGCAGGATGTATGCTGTACATTTATATACAACGTTGGCTGGAGCACAGACATTGCGGTGTCATGCTTTCATTCAAATTTCAGATGCCATATGTTCAGTACAATCGCATGGCATCAAAATACAACATATTGCTTTGCAAATGCAAATAATTTCACACAGTGGCCTTCATGACTGGGAAGGGGTAATGAAATGGCATATATTTTATACATATGAAAAAAAATAAATAAAAGATTTATCATAAATATATGGACCAGTATATGACGTTGAAGAACAAGAAGCAAAAAGGGAACAGTGCTCTTGCATAAAGATCGATTCTCTTTGCGGCTGATGGAATGACAGGCTTGGGAGGAGGAGGCTTCTTGTTGTTCTTGGCTTGAGATTTCCCGAGCCCGTTGTTGACTTCAATGGGTTTCCCATAACAGTCATAATTCGATAATTCAAAATCCCTTGGCAAGCTTCCAACGATGCTGAAATCATTGGATCTCAGATCAGATTTCGAAGTGCAAACTTTTTTGCATCTGGTCTCACCAACCTATGAAATAAAGAGTGAGGGGAACTGTGATCTACTCAACCGTATTTCATTAACAAACTTAATGCAGCTGCTAGAGAACACTGCAAACAAACATATAGGAAATTACTTGTTGATAGGGATACATTACAGCAGTCTAATTTGCTGAATGGTTGCGCTATAAAGTACTTAAGGATGATCAGTCAATCACATAAACCAATCTAAACATTCATAATTGTGTAATTTTTCATGCACAAGGTGCCTCATGCTGTGCAACCTGCTGTAGTTAGAGTCCTTCATTTTAAGATGATAGAAGGGGAAAGAATATTTCTGTAGAGAGCGTTTTTGGAAATCAGTTCTGTGCTGAGGAACCTGCAGGTCAGATACTATTCAATACTTACATTTTTCTGAGGCCTGGAAGCTACGGTCAGAATAGATCCTAAAATTCAGTGTTTGATGCAACAATTAAAGTCTATTCTGGTTCTACATAGTAGCCAGCTCAAGATCCTATATCTCATCCCAGGGTGACCACTTTGAATGGATAAAAGGCACCTTCTTTGTACCTGCAGTCCTTGGTGCCTCACAAGGTAATAAAGATGTGACACCGTTCTCAGCACTTCCCGTCGGTACACTGGAGAACTGTGTAACTGGGACATCTAAATCCAGCAACTGAGTATGTGTCCTTCCTACAGCTCCATCAGTGCTCTTGGGGAACAAGTGCTACTGTGCTATGGGGTAACCCCAGGTGAACGTTTCTGTTACAGATCAGACTGCCGTGCTGGAACATACAATGAACATTTAAAAGAAAAAAAAAGTATTTGGTGCTGAAGTGGGTTTTTTAGGGGGAAAAAAGAAAGCGTTCCTACATTTGCTTCCTTGAATTTTATAAAGTTTATATTTTAGGTAAAACAAATCTCTACGAGGACCCACACACACACTTCTCAGGGAGCTTGAGGAGACTACTTGCAAGGTACTGTGTTTTGTGGCTTGAGTTAATCTCTTCCAAAGTTTCATTTCAATTGCCCTATACAGTAAAGGGAAAAAAAAAGATTAAAAAAGGAATCAGGTTGTGAAACTTAACTGCATTTTTAGTAATGCCATTTGTTCATATATATAAACTGAGAGTTAGTTGGAAAAAATGCTGCTTCACAAATGAGGTTATATACATGGGCAACTGACATGAACATAAGTTTCACTAGGGCTTCCTGGAGTCACAGGTACACTAAGACTTGGTTCTTCCAAAAGCTGCCTATCCCTCCTTCCCAGTAGCCTGTCTCTCCTCCACAAAGTCTTCTGATATTTTACTCTCAGCACTCTCCACCTCTGGATTTGCTGCAGTCTTAGGCTGATGATTCAGGATATTTGCATCACTACATTTTGTAGTTAAAACAAGAATAGTGAAATGCAGTACCAGAGTTACTTATAGATGAATAAAAAACATTCTGGAGAACATTATTAGCTTCTCTGTGACAACTGTCAAGGTATCCTGGATGAAAAGAGCTATGGTAGTTGGGGAGACCTCAACTTTGACTTGGGCTTTTACTCCCCACTACTGACAAGGCCGATTCTGGTGTGAGGTGGAAGAGAAGCACAACATTATTCCCTCAGCAAAGAGAGGATACACTTCCCCAGATTTGCCAGACTTATATTTCTCAGGAAAACAGTATATTTTGAAACCAATGCACTAAAACTGAGGTGCAGGTTACACAACAAAATCAAGATAACAGGTTATAAAAAAGAAAAACAAGATATGTGTTCCATGATGGTAAGGCAAAACTATACATACAAATTTCCTGCAACTGTTTCCCAGTCATCAAAGAGCTGACAGCCTGGGATGGTGTTCAATATTGGAGTAGCAGGGGCAAACTGTCTAGTAAGGTGGTGACTGAGACACGTATGAACATGATTATGTGACCCTGGGTGACATGGGGGCTGTCAATGATCCAAGAGGCTCCTTCCAGTTGGATCATACCCAATCATACGGGTAATAAAGAAAGAAAGCAGACCCTTGTGCAATGAAAGGGTAACTTGCAGGACCAGGGTGCATGTTAACTGAAGAGTCACAGGAATATTATTTTTCCCATGGTCAAAACTGTTAAGATTTAGTAAGACCATTACAAGGAATAGAATACTGTATGAAACTATAAACCTCCATTTGGATTTGCAAACTCGTAGTTCTTTCCTTGTGCTACTAGCGATATATAGCAAAACTCAGTGACACAAATTGTAGCCTAAGCACTCTCTTTTACAATACAGAATATTCCTGTTCCCACTGTGGTATCTAGAGAGTGCTTCTCTAAAGGCTGTTACAAGTCAGTTCTCGTTCACTCGTGGGACACAGAACTGGGGGAACAGCTTCTAGGTCACCTCTGCCTTATGAGCAGAGGGCTGTTCACAGCATGTTCACACACAGCTCTGCTTACTTTAGTGACAGCTGGAGTGCTGCTTTATCAGGGTGACACAATTTCCCTTGTAAGAGCAACCTGCCCCAAATTTTTCTTTAGTAAGTATAAGTTACTTTTAAAAAGAATTTCTTTCATTTCTCTGGTTTTACAAATCTAATGTGCTTCTACATTCAGTTGCTGGCTAGACATATTTTTAAATTTCTTCTCATACATCTCTTCAACTCTTGAATATTTCTGTTGTTTTAATCTAAATTCACTTCAGCTGACCTACAGATTTCCCTAAACATATATTAAAAGTAGTTTATCTGTTGTATCCTGTCTCAGTTTGTGCCAGAAGCGTAATGATATTCCTGACACTTACCAGAGGCTATAGGAACCATTTCTGTGGAAAATGATACCACAGGACTTGATTTTAGACTACTACAATGAAGGTTTGTAAAGAAAGTAAAACATTGTTAAATGTTATACCCTTTAAACTTCACCCTGACACAGAACTTGTCCCTGGAAAATATTTGATGTAATTTGCCTTATTCTGCCTGTGCATCATGACCCATGGACCAGACCCCATCCCACAGGATGCTCCTGCTAGATCTACGGTTTTGCCCTTGCAGGAGATGGGGTCAGCTGGTGAGGAAGGAAAGGCTGCTGGGATAGCACAGGGCCTCCTCACATCCCCAGCAGAGCCAGGCAGATGCTCCTTGTCCATGGAGGCAGGGGTGGTGAGTAGGGCATGAGAAAGTGACATGGCTCTGGGGGCTTGGCCCAAACCACAGACCTAGTTCCTGTTTCTCCCAGGACTGGACCACCTTGTCTAGGTTTGGTACATTGGATAGCACGCCTGCCTTTTGATGAACATCTCAGAAATACCTAAAAATGTCTCCTAGAAGCCAGAAGGCCCCTTGCAATGATCCTTTCTCACCTTTTACAAACTCAGGCTGACCAGCGCTCCCTGCCAAGTTCAGCACCTGCTGCTGCTCCAGAGCTGTGGTGTGTGTGCCACTGCAGTGGGGCCATACCCGGCACAGAAAGTTTTTGCTTGCAGAGTCAGGGCAATAATGTGATAAGAAAACGGGGAAAGAGAAGAAGAAAGAAGTGCTGCCTGTGCATACAGACTGACAGGGAGGGGGAACTAACTCCCCAGCGCTGCATCTGCCGCTTCTGGTGCTCTTCATCACTCCCCAGATTTATTGCCCAAACTAGTTACACCAGATTTTCCTTTAAAAACATCCAGGATGGAGAGTTTTTTCCATGACCTTGTTCCCCACAAACATATGTACCTTATTTCTAACCTGAATTTATTTGGCTTCAATTTTCAGTCACAAGGCATGACTATAGTTAGTCTGATTAACTGCTGGTACTTACAGATGGTAACAAATCTAACCTTGATTTTGCATAACTCAGATGACGTAACCAGGCCTACATCTGAAGCCAAGTCAAATGTTCTTCAGAGTTTCTTACCTCCACATCATTACCTCTGTCAACCTAATTGATAACCTTTTAAAAAATTATATTCAGTTTGATTAAATCAATAAACACACAGATCAGCTTTAATTTCACTGACCTATTTAAATTTATTAGCTAACATGGGGCTGAATTATGAATAATATTAATGATAATTAATACTTATGAATAATAATTATTAGTCAGCCCTATTAGCTATGCAATATTTTCCACTGATTGATATCAGGCTTATAATTATTCATGTTATGCCACTTAGCCTTTAAAAGTACTGGCACAAAGTTAGGTTCTTGCTGTCTTTTGGAACTTCCCCCAGTTTTAAAGGATTTATTAAAAAATCAGCATTAATGTTCCACAGTACTCATGGACCGGCTCTTTAAAAAATCCTAGATGCAACTTAAGCTGAAATCTCAATTGAAAAATGTCTAACTTTAATAGCTACTCTTTAACATCCTTATTAGCTACTGTCAATGAAAGCTATTTCATCATCTGATTGAATACATCTACCTTTTCCTCAAACACAGAGCAGATTATTTGTTTGACACTTTTGCCTTTTCTGCTAATTCTTGATACTTACAGCATCTCTATATGGTCTTGGACCAATACTCTTATCACTGGTTTTTGTATTCTTGCTATACATGCAAAGTACCTTCCTACAGCCCTCAATTATGCTAACCATATATCCCTTTTGTTACCCATTATCTACATTTATTTTCTGGATTTCAATTTACATTAATTGCTATCAACTTCGCTATTTTCCAGTGCGAAGAAAAGAGAAATGCTTGAAGTTGAGTTAGTTTTAAGTCTTTGGGGAGTTTGTTTTCAATTGTGTTGTTTGTTGGGGTTTTTAAAATTAATATAGCTTCCCTTCTGGTCTGTAGCTGTTTTGAACATTGTTAGGTAGATCACCAGCTTCCCTCATAATTTTTGTTTAAATTCTTCCACCCAGATGAGAAAAAAGAGTTTTCACATTTGTCAAATCTGTCCTTTCACAGCACCAAAAATACCAGGACTTGACTAAATTTGTTTTGTGCAAATAGAATAAAGATCCTTTTCAATTGACTGTTCATCCTGTGATCAAGTCCTCTTTATCCATCAGGATGAAGTGTAATAAAAAATACCATCATTTTGGATTCAAGATTTTTTCGAGAGCAGAACTGTATTGTTCATGATTTCTAGCAAAGCTTCAAACGTGCTACAGCACTGGCAGCCTCTCCAGCTCAGCATGCTTCCCCCGGGCTGAAGTGCCTCCTGACTGTAGTGCAGCACTCTCTGCTCTGCACAGCCCCTCTTCTCTGCCATAAAATCACCTCCTCTGCTGCACCCAACCTCTTTTTGGCATGCAGATCTGTCACTGGTGCTGCCAGTTGTCTAAAAGTCTTCCATACAAGATGAAGGAGGGCTTTTCTAACAAACTCTGTCATTAATCTCTCTTGTACTTGTTTTGTGCTCTTCTCTTGCTCTTGCCATAATGATAGATGTAGATCATCAATAAAGTAACAAATGTTTAGCATTAGTGTGTATTCAGACTGAGTATATTTTCTGCTGCAGCTCAGCAGGAATTTGCTATCACATTCCAAATATTCCTTGCAAAGTACAGCACAAAAAATATTTATTCATAAAATATCACAGAGTCACAGCATAGCTAAGATTGGCAGGGACCTCTGGAGATCATCTAGTCCAACCCACTGCTCAAAGCAGATTGCTCGGGGCCTTTTTACAGTCCTGTTCTGAATTATCTCCAAGGATGGATACGTGAGTCACTAGAGCAGAAAGTACCTACCCTGTACCTGAAATGCTGTCAGGAACTATTAAACTACACTGCAGCCTGTGGTTTTGTGAACAAGGTAAAATGTAAATTGGGTTTCTGGTGGTTCTGCAAGAAAAATCTGAGTCTGGAGTGCCACTTGAGGGGAAAAGACAATATGGGAAGATCAGGTCACCACAGGTCACCAGCAGTAGTCAGGTATATTATAAATCAGTAGAGATGAACATTGCTTGTATCAGGTTTCAGAGCCCAAATGTAGCTCTGACAAGATAAGGCAAGCAGTAGCGCTACTGCTTTTTAAAAATAACTGGGTTTAGAGCTATTACCACCACTTGCATAGCACTATTCATCATCCTCCAGAGCCATTCATTTAGCAAATGTTCTCTCTAGTCATCAGCACATTATCTGTGGGGGACAGCTTCTATAAACGGGCTTGATGAAAATGTGACTTTTCAAACTGAGGGGTGTTGTTATAGTTAATACTGCAATCTCTCCCTGTAATCACACCACCAATGAAAGCAAAAAGAAACTGATTCATCTTAAAAACATTTCCCTTTTTGCTTGTTTTTCTCATTGTGTGATGTTGCATTGCTAGGAAACACACGCAAACTCCTACTGAGGATTCCCAATAAAAAGCCAGTGCCAGCAGTTACCACCAGGTTGCATAATTTTCTCCTCTGCTTAGAACAGCATCTACTTGTAGTCACTATGAGCTAAGGGAGCCAAACTGTACTTTCTCATGGCTTCTTGCCTGTAAATGCATAGCCATTGCTGCTCCTACAACGTAAGCATAAGTGCTTATGTTAAATTTTCTCTTTTTTTCTACAGATTCAGGGTGATCTTGCCAGATGAACCACTTGACTTTAATCAGACAGTCATATCCATAAACCTCTGGGCTTAAAATGGCACTGACATTTCAAGGTTTTTTGTTGGAGGGGGCATGAGTCATAAAACATGTACTCAGGGGTTTGGTGCGTGTTGGCAACACACAGCTTTTACGTCAGGCAGTACCCAGGATTTGGTGGAGAGAAGTAGCTATGCATCAATGGAAGCCTTTCTCCATCTTTGGGTGACTGATAAATTGTGGACATTGTTTTCATCCTGCCATCTTTGCTGTTGCTGTTCACAGAATCATAGAATCACAGAACCACAGAATGATATGGGGTTGGAAGGGACCTCTGGAGATCATCTAGTCCAAAAATCCTTTCTGCTGAAAACCTCATGACGTTCAACCAGGTCAAATGCAAGATCCTGCACACGGGTTGGGCAATCCCAAGCACAAATACAGGATCAGGGGCATTTTAAACCGAAATAAAGTAATATATCTTTTTAAACTTAATTCATCTCAAATAACTTCCAGATATTTATCAGCATCATTCATAATAAACATGCTTCATTTAAGCTGGAGAAACACTTATGAATGCAATTATCCATGCTCTCTGTTTTTTTCCCACTTGGATTTTTCTGCTTCCAGGTCTTTCCTGTTGGCTTTACTTTTGAGTCCCATCTGGTCTATCCACTGTTTCAAGACTATGGTGAGATTTCCAGCTACACCCTCAGTCACTTTTGCCTTAGTATCACCTCCTGTGTGGAAAGAGAACACCCTCGCATTCCTATGGGATGCACACTCGCTTCAGGGATGCAGTTCTAAGTTGTCCTTTTCTCCTAAAGCTGTGTCTTTCCAGACATTTAGCACAGTATTTACTCTCTCCTCACGCACAATCTTACACAACCCTCATGAGAAACAGCTCCTAAAGTTCTGGGACAACACTCTGGCCTCTTTTTGTTTCATATTCTTTATGCCTTTAAACATACAGTTTTTTTCCATTACCTGTTTCTTTAATGTTTCCCTCCCTCACGTATTTGCCGTATGAAAAATGCATTATCTACTTGATCATTACTAGGTCTGTATGGGAGCAATCCAAATTTTGTGAGGCAGGTCTAGTTTTGGATTAGGAGTCAGAGCTACTGAAATATTTAGACCTGTTCTGATTCAGGAGTTTAGTACAGGCTTCTCCAGGGCTGAGAACTTTCAAAGTCCTCCTACGCAGTAGCTGGTTCTGAGAGGGAGTTTTCAGCTAGGCAGATTTATAGCATTCAAATACATGAAATCTAGCATCACTGTCCTGCCACATCCTGATGTCAAATGATTCATCAGTCCAGGACCTTTTTCTGTCTCATCCTGGTGATCTTCACAGAATTACCAGCCCAGGACACCCTTCGTCAGGTAGGCTATATTTCAAAGCAGGTGGCTGGATACAAGGAGGATCACTAGCCATGAGGAGAGGAGACCACTCAGCCACATAACTAGTTTTTACAGCAATTAATACTTATTTCCAATGCATCTTGGTAAACAAAAGTTTTGAAACTCCCTGTATAAAGATCATTAGAAGTTACACATGCCCAGGACTCCATATAAATCCAACACAGATGACTGATGCAGAGATTATAGATACTGGAAACTTAAAGGTCTCTGATAACAAATTGGAAAGACCCTGAAAAATGCAGGTAAAACATGAGATGCTGGAGCTGACATGCAAGATCATGGAGGGGAGCACTGTAAGATCTGGAGGGAAGAGTGAGGTCTGAATCCTAAAAACTTTCAGTCTACTGTCAGACACCATTCATGGGGAACGTTGTCTAATTTTTTGGACACTGACTCCCTTTCCTCTAAGTCTTAAAATGCACTGTACACCCAAACTTGTCTTCTTGAAAAAAAAAGTATTAAGAGATGAAAAGTTAGTACAGGTGATGAAAGTTATCATTGTATTGTCCTTATGGCTGTGATGATGGCAAGCACCTTAAAGGGTGTCCACACCAAGGAGAGTCAGTAATTTAGCAATTTGGTCTGGTTCACGCTACTGAAAAACTGCAGGCTTGTCATTGATCAAGCTAAACACTTAAACGTGTTAAGTACTTGAAATAGGGAAAAATAGATTTTATGCTTCTCCTCTGGAGTGCTGCAACATATTTTGTCACAACAAACAGCTGAATTTGGGACCTGAAAATTGCTGAACACAAAAATACCACGTTCAGTTCAGAGGAAACAAAACTCTAGCGGGGCTATCTTTCCTTCTACTCAATTCCCACGTTGCCTGGACTCGGGGAATTACTTGAGACACAAGTCAAAGCAGACATGGGGTTGCTCTAAGCTGAGCCTGGTTGTCTGCCAAAACAGACTCTTCTACCAGGTGAGAAATGCGGTAGTCAAGTGCACCCCTCTGCTATAGCTGCAGCTCCTATGGACTGGGGGTAATTAGTTCAACCTTTCTGGCATAAACTACTCCTTCCTTAAAAAAATGTTACAGTCACATTGTACACTGCCAATATTATCACCTGGATGTGGCCTAATAGCTTTATTTTATACATCAAAATTTCTGTGTCATTGAAAACTGTAAGACAAATTCGTATTCCACATATTGTAGCATAACGTGTTTTCTTCTGTAGAATAAATGTCAATTAAATATCCCTCAGGACTGAGGGCAGTAGGCCTGGGATGTCTGATAACCCTTGGAGCACAAACAGGGAGTTTTACAACACCAGGAGTTTAGCGATATGATGGAAAACTTGGCCTGAGCAAAGATGTACATCTCATCTCTATCCATATAACAAGATCTGACCGATTTACTCACAAACTTCATCCAGCAACACAAGAAATGCAGGAACTATTTGACAGACAAACAGACCTGTCTTTTGTTTACAAATGCCAAGACTTCTGGATGCCTGGCTTCAGAGACGCTTGACATGCAATGCGGTGCAGCTGTGGCCGTCCCGGGGAAAGCAATGAGACGGGTGTTATTTGAGTACTCTCTCAGCAAATACTGACTGAGAGTCCTGTCCTCTGAATAGTTACAGTCTGACAGCTGCTATTTATTATGAGAAAAATAGCAACTGTAAAGCTGCTTGCTACTTTATTTACCTGAAGGTCAGCAGCAACCATGGTGCTAGGATATTAAAAGACAAATTTTTCATTCGGTACATTTGACCCAAAATCACCAGGGACCCATTGGTCAAATGGCTAGCCATTAATTACCAGCATGCTTTTAATGTCTTGGCTACTTTTAAGATTAAGCACTATCCAAAACCATTATGACAGTATATTTCTGGAATTACGTTAACAGAGGATAACGATGATTTTGGGTACACAGCTTCACAGCTCCTACCTGTAAAGTGCTGATGTGGACGGGAGTCCCTGTGCCATTCACAGTGTTCTTCTTGGCAGCGTTTCCACCCTTCCCTTCCGCTTGCTCTGCCTTGGCAATCTTTGCTTTTTCGGCTTCAATTCTCTTTGGATTGTTTAGCATTACCTGAACCACCGCGTACTCCACCAGGGACGCAAACCCAAAGAGAAGGCAAACAATCAGCCAGACATCTAAGGCCTTCACGTAAGACACTTTGGGAAGTTCAGCGGCAAGAGTGGTACATTCAGATGCCAAGCTGAGCACTGAGAAGATACCTACGAGAAGGAAAACAATATATTGATTAAAGGAAACTTACCCTTATTGACACTGGCTGTGGTTTTCCTCTGAAACAGACAATACTGAATGATGTCTTGTAACAGCGAATGGGACTTCACAATGTGGTTGGTGCAGCAGGTGTACAAGGTGCGCATGCCTTCAGTTAATGAACAAGTTAAACTGAATACTTAGGTGGGATATTGCAGTTAATGATGAATCATTGATAATGAGTAGCTTCATTTTATAAACAGAGAAACAAAATAAGTGAGGCTAAACTGCTGTGGTTTTCCTGCCCCATCACACATCACACAGTCTGAAACGGGCTTTCCAAAGACTTCTTAAAATGTGCATTCAAGTCTGGGAAGATGGAAGAGATGGAATACGTGATACTTGCTTTAAATTAGACTACTGTTGTCCTAAAAATCTGAACTGTGCCACAGCAGGAGCAATTCCCTGAATGACCTGTCCACAAGTGTGATACGGTGAAAGGGAATTTTCGCTGAAGAGCAAAGCTCTACCAGCACAATAGAAAGTCTGTGTTCCTGACTCACTGTGAAGATGAAAACACTGAGGTGACTGAAGGTCTATGATCATTCCCTATTTGAGCTTCCAGAATCTAAAGAAAGCTTGCTAGATAAAGGGCATTTCAGGAAGCTCTTGTGAAAAAAAGCCCCCATATCTGCAAAGGCTGTTGAAAGGTCACACTCATCATCAAACTGGGTTTCAACAAGCATTTCTTCTAACAAGGCTTCCAAATGTCATCATCAACACAGGGCTCACATCACAAGACACAAAATACAAGCCTGATTTCAAACAAAGATTTCTCACAAGCTCCTATGAAACAGAATTTGTAGCATGAACAGCTAAATTTGCAAAAAGCTAACTTTAGAAATGGCTGTCATGTGGGGAAAACAGTTCAACCTCCCAGTTCATAATGTCCCATTTAGGTTTTGTGAACGCTAATGATAAAAATCTTTAGTTATGAGTGTACAGCTTCATGAAATGTAATTGACGTTTATAGGAATTGTTTGCCAGAAGGAGATACTCAGTTAGTCTTAACTATGTTTCTTAGCTTGGTCACGTGGTATCCAAAGCATGAAACATTTTGTAATTCATAGAGTGCTCATGTTCTTCAGATCCATTTTAAGTAACTATGAATGTGAAAATGTTAATAAAACTGAAAGTATCTGTATTGGCCTATGAAAATATTCAATTCTAGTTGAACATAAATAACACTCATTTCTGCTACTGTTCCAATTTGGATTTTAATAAGGTTGATATGATGCTTTATTTGGTATTAATCTCAAATGGGCTATTTACTAGCTGCTAAAAAACTGAAGAGCAAGTATAAAGAAATTATTACAGTCATATTATTTTAAAATACAAATTTTTCTGATGTTTTATTTAGAAATGTGTAATACCAACGCATCATTGCAAAGCTGTTGGTTTCTTTTTTATCCATTGGGACAATACAGATTGTGCTATTTCAGATCAGAATGACATGGCAAACACTGAACAGACAATCCTCAGTGTTCACTCTGGCTTATTTTCCACCTATTGTATCTGAAGCACTCAAGTACAAACATTCCCACCAGGACAGAAAGTGAGCATAGAATAGTGCCCTCTTAAAAGAAGTTATTTTCACTGACCAGTACCAGCTGTCTGGGGGTGAACACTAGTTATGGAACATAAGGAACTGCAATAAAAGTACAAATAAGGCTGTACTGCCTTAATGCATATAGAAGACATATGCCTCTTCCCAGGTTGCTCTTTGTTCTGTATCAAGTGTGTACTGTATCAAGTACCATTCATGTCTATACTAGACCTCTGAAAGGCAGCCTCTACTCTTACTCTGAATAACCAAATTAGCCAATGATACAGACTGGCTCAACATCTTGGATATTGTATTTTTTTCCTACCAGCTTTAAAACTGTTTACTATATTAATATGTAAGTATTATTATCATGCCTGGTGCTGGCAACATTTGTGCAACCACTTTGTAGAGCTTAAAATACTAGATCTTAGAATCTTGGGTTTAATTCTACAAAACTAACTTACAAATTCTACTAGCTGAAAAGATTTTAGTGGAGCTTTTATCAATTTGTTCAGTAGAGCAACTGAGGTCATGGTGACCTGCAGCTAATTTCCGTTCTTCTGGATTCCTAGGATTAAAAGTTCATTCTCAGAGTCTGAGAAAATTCTAGCTTTTCAAGGTAAAAATCAAGTGAGATAGAAGCACAGAAATACTCTTTTAAGTAATTTTTCACTTCCAGGTCAGAGCTGGTACGGCCTTGGAGACCCTAATACCAGAATTGTAGGTTGCACCTCTGGCAGCAGTGGTGCTAGATACCTACCTAACACAGTCCAAAGCTCAAGGCTCAAAGGTGAGAGAGGAAAATGAAGAAATAAAGTGCAAGATTACTTATTAAAAAAAAATGGAAACACCCCCCCCCTCTTTTCCTCTCATGGAGCACTAAAAAGAAGGGACAGAGCTCCTTCCTCCATACTTGCAAAGTAAAGGGAAATTTGGCCTTTCTAGGAAATAACTCTGCATTTTTACCCCTAGTGTGGCACCCTTCTTGATGGCAAAGTTTAGCTTATCAGTAAGGTTAGTAAGCTCCCAGCCTAAAGCATGATTGTATAGAGCTACTATTTTAAAAATAATGCCTAAGGTTACATGCGGATAACATCTGAAAGTGCCAGTCCAGCAAAGCACTTCAGCACATGCTGCCAGACAAATAAATCTCCCTTTTTTGAATCCATCAGATTTACTGGCCTCAGCACTATCTCCTGGCAGTGAATTCCACAGGTTAATTATGTGTTGTATAAAATAGTATTTTCTGATTTATATTACTGCTTTAAAAATGTCTGGCTTCATCTCACTAATACTATTGAAAAAGGCAACATTCTGTCTTGCTTTCCTTGTAATTTGATATCTCTAATACATTCTTTTCCCTCATTAAACTTTCTAAACTAAAGGACATAATCATGCCAATCCTTCTTCATACTGAAGTTTTATCATATATCTTTATGTCTTTCCTTTGAGACCCTACACTTGTTATAATTTTATACAATAAAATTACTAGAACCACGGCAGCTCTGAGGACAGGAGTGAGGGGGGCATGCCTGGCTGCAGACCTAGCTGTCCTTTGTGTGGGGGAAATCTTTCAGTGATCACTACTCCAAGATTTTAGTTACCCTGTTGTACCCTCGTCTGCACTCTGGACTAAAGCTCCATGCCGTCAGGCTGCTGTGGGTGGACAGAAGTCCGATGTTCCCCACATCCCTGCAGCTCCAGGGAAGATCTTACTCCCTTTGGGGATCACATGGCAGTGAAGGAAAGAAAGGATTTTTTTAAACAGATGCTGGCACACTTTCCACTTGTAAAGAACTGGAGCGTCCTCTATCGGGCTCATTAAAAGGTGAAATGCCAGCATCTAATTAGCCAGAAGCATTCAGTGATATCACCCATAGCTGTCGAGATGCCAGTACTTTTTGCACTTGCCTACCACCAGGTGATCTAGTTGGGTGAAATGATAAGGATATAAATAGGGCTTGCAATTTATTTAAATCCTACATGGACACGGGATTTTTCTTCAAACAAGCATACAACCTTTTCCCAGAACAACAATCAGTCTATAAAAACATATTCTGCCTACTGGCTTGCAAAGTGTCTTGTATTCCTAAATCACTTGGAAACTTCTGAGATGCCTTGCCAGGGGGAACAGTAGCCCACTATACTTAATGCTAGGGATAACTGCATTAAGATACCCATAAGTAAATCCAAAGTAGCTTCTCATCCAATGAGATCTGTATCTAGCCATTGAGAGTGTAGCAGCCATTGGTAGCACCTCCTTGGGATTAGGTACCATTCACTCCACCCACAACAGTTAATCTTGTTAAATTTCAAAGTCAACTATCTTCAAGGTAGATGGGTTAGTTTGTTGCCCTCCTGCGAACTGGAGAAACAATTTTTACCCCAGTAAAAGTGTTAACAACCTACATTACTAAATACTGACTCATGACTAAAGGACGGTCAGATTTACAGTATTTTACTTCTCTGGGGATTCAGGAAAAGTCACATAACCAGGCCAATGGTTAGTTACCTTTGAAAATGCATTATTTCAGAAATGCTAATATATAAAAGGAGTTAATAAACATTTATAATAAATGAAACAAATAAACAATAAATAAACATGCATGTTTAGTCACAAAGACTAAATGTTTTAGTCACAAAGACTAAATGTTACGTAAATGAGCACTATGCCTCTTTTAAATATAATACATAATTAATAAGCTGCTCTGGTTGGCTATTTGAAGTGCAGGATTATAAAAGTGGAAATACAGCTCAGGTTTTGATTGTATTGGAGCTCAATATGTGAAAAATATTTCCAGTTCTTTTTCTTATCTTTTTAATTTAATGCATGCTACATTTTCCCAAGCTTTTTTTCTTAAAATATCTTCTGTTTCACATTATGGAATGCATCCTTGCTACTTCTCAAGGTAACAGGTTATATTCGTTACTTGCTGTCAAACCAATGCAGATTTTAACTCCTCCAGAAGTAAGTATAATATTTTTAAAGTCAAAAGAAAAAAAATGATTTGTATTCTGAAATAGACCTCTAAAAAAAAAAGGTATAATAAATATAATCATATAGTGTCTGTTAATTAGAACAAGGTAGCCAACTGTGGCTCACAAGCCAAAAGTAGCACTCCAGTCATGGTTCTCTAGATTTTAGAGTAAAACAGGCTATTTTTAGTTGGAAGTGACCTACAGTGACTATTTAGTCCAACTGCCTGACCAATTCAGGGCTGACCATGTCCTACACTGTCCTACCCCTGAATACTAGGGAGAAGAGATAAGCACGTCCCCCCCCCAGCTTCCCTTCCTCGGGAAGCTGTAGAGAGCAATCAGCCCCTCAATGAGAGCCCCTCAGCTTTCTTTTCTCCAAGCTAGACAAGCCCAAGGTCCTTAGCTGCGCCTCACAGAGCATTCCTTACAGCACTTTCACCAGCTTTGTTGCCCTTCTCTTCAAGGATTCAAGGGTTCAAGGACCTGAGCACCCTTCTTAAATTGGAAAGGGGGGGGGGAATTGGCTCAGATTTTTTTTGGCCCATTGCATCACTGGAGACAGAAGAGGCATGGTTGATGACCTGATATGGGAGCCATGGGGCTCAGCCCAGGGGATAAGTGGATGCTTTTCCACTTAACAAAACTTGGCACCATTCCTGCTCCACCTGGCTCAACACAGGGATTTCAGGTACCCACTGCTGCAAGACTCTGCAGATAATTGACACAGATTGATAAGGTGATGTGGCAGCTCCTGACTCCGAGTGTCTCCAGTGCTTCTCAACACACATTCATCCATGTGTGGCTGCACAGGAGTCATGTCCTGTGGGCGTGTGGAGGTTCAAGGGTGGCTGAGAAGTTTCTGAGGAAGGCAGGTGGCTGGAGGGATTCTGCAACTGCACCCTTGGGGTCTTGAAAACAGGTGCACTGAATCTCCTGGGATATGGGAAAAAATTTGGAAAGTTTGGACTTGAGGAGCTGGGAGAGCCAGGAAAAGGGGGAGCACAGGGAGGCCAGAACATTGGGAAGGAGAGGTCATGGCATAGGGAAGGGAATCCAAATAGAAGTGTCAGGACACAAGAGCCTGGCTCTGCATTTTATTGAGCTCCTGGGGTCAGCAGGTTTGGCCACCCCAGAGCTGAAGTCCCATGTACAATCCAATTAGTCAAGATTATATTGTTTTGATTAACTCTGTGTCCTACTATTTCATAATAAATGAAGGGCCTGCCTACTGCGTTGTGCTGAGCAGCATGAACGCATGAGCCTGAAGTACTCTCATGAACTGCGTCTCTAATGAAATAAAACCAATCGGGTAACAAGGATGCTAATTGTCTTTCAGACCTCATTCTGTTTCTATTAATCTTCAGAAAAACTGCTCCAAGAGGTAGCTTTTTAAAGCCTTACTCATCATCCTGCTTTATTACTGAGTATTCAAAATTTCAAATTCCTATAAATTGCCTATTTCCATGAAGTCTGCAGCATCACCCATACATGGACAAGATCAGATTTTTCTGGGTTGAGAAGAGCGGAGACAGTGTGCTTATCACACAAACACTGGAAGCGTTATCAAGCGAAGTCTTAATGTAAAGGTGGATTTTACAGGACTAGGAATGACGAGGTCTCTGAAAATGACAAGTGGATAATGGAAGTGAAGTTGCTTTCAGTGTCCAGTGTCATGTTGTCAAAGCAACTGAGAATGGCTCAATGGCAATTACGTGGATTGTGACAGCATGTGTAAATGCAGGTTACCCAGTGGGACTCTTGCAGCACTTGCATCAGGATTGATCCAAAATGACAGCCAGGATAGAACAACAATTAGCAGTGTAGGAGCATAAACACCCATCATGTAAAATCCAACTTGTCTTCTTAAAGTGAAGATTACTTCTACACAAGTGTAATAACCTTTAAAGAAATAAATGCATTAATGTTTAATGTGCTTTGCAGGTCAACCTCTTCAGATCTGTGTCTTCCAGGCCTTTTTCTGCTTAAGAGCAAAAGTTCAATGACTCGATTTTCTCTATAAAGTCAAAGAGTTCAATTTGAAAAAAAATATGTCCAAAACACAGGTCTATATAACCAGCAAGTGTGGTTGGGCATGTGGAACTCTCTGTGCTCTATAAGGCGCAGCGCATCAGTAACAGGCAGTTAAAGCCACTCTCATCTTGATGCTGGCTGCAAGATGCAGTCCAGACAAAACCAATGGGGTCTACCAGTCATACTAGCTTAAGTTCATCTGAAAATCCTACTCAGCAGTAATTTGTGCAAAGATGGAACTAAAAAATATTAATGTAGAAAGTTTAGAATGGAAAGAGGTGATCTGAATGTGACTCTAAGCAGAGATTCCACCAGTACTGAAAGCTGGCACAGTTGACTTCTAAAATTGGTACAGACTTTTGAAAAAAAGGTTCTAAAAACATTGTTAATTTTGAAAAGAAGGAATACTGCCTCAAATCTTTTAAAATGAGAATCTAAAGTACACAAACATTTCAGAAGATATCCATTAATATTGATTCAATAAAAAACAAAGCTGCAGATACTAGAGGTTTTGCTGGAGATAACACATGGACCAGGAACTCTGATAATCAGAAAAAAAAAATCTGTTAATATATTCACTCTATTAGCAGACCTGGCATTTTTATGTTAATATTAGTACAATAGCATTGCAAAACAACTTCATAAACTATCACAAGATTTATGTTAAATAACAAAAATTTCAAAATTTAGATCAGTCTACATCTATAAATAAAGTTGGCGTAAAGCTAATTTAGAAGAGAGAATTTGTCAAAAATATAACTATTTATCTTTTATATTTTGTCAATTAAGTGTTGTAGAATGGTAAATCATCTTAAAGGTGCTGTTTGGGCATACAATAACCAAAACCAAAAATCAATAAAACATCAGGGAAAAATTTCCTTGTGTAGAAGACACTATATGGTATTTTATAGTTCATTCTAACCTCTTCAATGATCTGTTGTCTGAAATATTTTCCCTCTATAATTTATGAATAGTTTCCAGATACTTTTAGGTTTTATTTTCAAATAAGATGACCTTCAAAATCATTATTTGTTTGCTTTATGCCAGAAATGCATTCTGAATGGCTTTGTATCATCTTTCATCAGGCAGAGAATAGTATCTATTGCTCTCACTATCCAGCTCACAAGAACCTGTTTGTATCTATCCTACATTTTGATAAACAAAGAACAGGCAATTTGCAAAGTTAAATATTCAATTTATTGCCACAAAAAAGTCACCCCAAATTTTTTGACTGTCTTTCTACTTAGGTAGGTATGATAAAACATCAGTCGATGTAAATAGGCAGTAAAGATTAAGTTCTTTGCAATTGGCAAGAATCTCCTACATAAGCCATAATTTTGAAAATTTGCTTGTATATGCAACACTGCCTCTTGATTACCTGACAAAATCCTTGTCTGAATTAATTTTACCCGTGTGCGCAAAATCTGCTTTTATAAATACCTTCAATATAAGAATTTAATATTAATATAAATGAAACAACTACTGATTACTGATTACACCCTTTAAAATATTTCAGAGCACTAAAATATTCCATTCACATTAGTGAGGATTAATTCCAGTCAATTATGAGATTAACATGGATGTTCTTACTTTCTAAACAAAAAAGGATTTGCAAGAAAAGGATTATGAAAACTTTTTAAAATTTCATGTTGTCACACCACCCACTCTGACAGTTCCCTAATTCTTTCTTCAACGTTCAGATCTCACACACACACAAAAGTTCTCCAAGGAGTTAGTCAATAGGACCCTCTGGGAAACTGCCCACAGGGACAAGGGAGCACGACAGAGCTGGCAGATCTTTAAGGACGCTTTCCATAGAGTGCCAGAGCTCTCCATCCCCAGGTGTAAAAAATCAGGAAAGGAAGGCAACAGACCAGCATGGATGAGTCAAGACCTGCTGGTCAAACTGAAGGGCAAGAAGGAAATGCACAGGCAGTGGAAAGCAGGGAGAGGTATCCTGGGAAGAGTATAGGGACGCTGCCTGGTTGTATAGGGATGAGGTCAGGAAGGCAAAGCATGGCTGGAGCTGAACTCAGCAAGGGATGCAAAGAATAATAAGAAGGGCTCCTATGGGTATGTCAGCCAGAAAAGAAAGCGGACCCCACCTCAATGAACAAGACTGGCAAACTGGTAGCAATGGACAAGGAGAAGACTGAGGAATTCAGAGTTCAGAGGACCATGAAGATGGTCAGAGGGCTGGAACATCTCTCCTACGAAGACAGGCAGAGAGAGTTGGGGTTCTTCAGCCTGGAGAAGGGAAGGCTCCAGGAAGACCTTATGGTGGCCTTTCAGTACTTAAAAGGGGCTTATAAGAAAGATAGGGAGACGCTGCCTGGTTGTATAGGGATGAGGTCAGGAAGGCAAAGCATGGCTGGAGCTGAACTCAGCAAGGGATGCAAAGAATAATAAGAAGGGCTCCTATGGGTATGTCAGCCAGAAAAGAAAGCGGACCCCACCTCAATGAACAAGACTGGCAAACTGGTAGCAATGGACAAGGAGAAGACTGAGGAATTCAGAGTTCAGAGGACCATGAAGATGGTCAGAGGGCTGGAACATCTCTCCTACGAAGACAGGCAGAGAGAGTTGGGGTTCTTCAGCCTGGAGAAGGGAAGGCTCCAGGAAGACCTTATGGTGGCCTTTCAGTACTTAAAAGGGGCTTATAAGAAAGATAGGGACAAACATTTTAGCAGAGCCTGTTGCAATAGGACAAGGGGTAATGATTTTAAACTGAACAGAGCAGATTTAAACTACTAGTTTAAAACTAGATTTAAACTACTAAACTACTAGTAGATATAAAGAAGAAATTTTTTACACTGAGGGAGGTGAAACACTGGTCCAGGTTGCCCAGAGAGTTGGTAGATGCCCCATCCCTGGAAACATTCAAGGTCAGGTTGGATGGGGCTCTGAGCAACCCGATCTAGTTGAAGATGTCCATGCTCATTGCACGGCGGCTGGATTAAGTGACCTTTAAAGGTCCTTTCCAAACCAAACGTGAATTTTCCTGAGGAGAGCTAATTTCACTTTATTTACAAATGGTAAATCACATGAGATGCTGAATTACATAGTTAGGCTAAGAACTCACTCATTTTGCAGTTAAAAACTAAACCCTGTTTCAATTTTCGTAGTCTTTTTCAAGTTAAATTCCTTAACTCCAAGTTCTACTAAGGTTACTTGAGATCTCATCAGATTTGGGACTGAGCTCAGGAGCTGCTGCAAGTAACAGACCCTCGACTTCAGCTGAATAGTCAATAAGAAACTTGCAGAGGATCCTTAGAAGCCACATCCATCCTTGTTGAGTTTTAATGAGAGATTTATTCATGTGATGCAAGAGCACTCACTAAAATACACCCTGCTGACTTCTGTTGTTACAGAAAGGCTTGCAGTTGCCACGGTAGTTTAGATATAATTATGGGCAGGAATCAATCAAGGTAGAAAAGATAAATCATTAGAAGCCAGAATACAGAAAGCATTGGATAAATTTGTGCCCACACTCAGAAAATACTCATAGGATTGGTTAAATACAGGACTGAAGATTGTAAGCAGCTTTCTAGAATGACAGACTTTCCAGAACACTTAGAGAAAGGAAGAACCTACAGGGAGAAGCATTTGAAGTTACACTTTAATACTATCCACAAAAGTTAAACCAGAAAAACAAAATTATCCTACTTTGCTGCAACTGGCATAAATCTATGTGAACAATCTATCAGAAAAGTTAGGCATTTACAAGTATAAAACAGTATTAGGACTATAGAAACAAAATCGTGATAGTAAGATTGGAAGACATGAAACTAAAACCAAGAAAAACATTTAATCTCATGTTCAACCTAGATGTTTCTATATCTGAACTGGTTTGCAGTAATTATATGTAGTAGTTACTACTATATGAACTACTGGTTTGTTAAAAATAATATATTTTTTCCCATAGAATGTAAGATATGAAATGGAGTATTGACCATTAACCTTAAACAGTAATTGAAGAAAGCTTACAGTTTTTACCAAGAAATCACTTATATTACCTACCTGTGCCTTTATAATACTTGGTACAGTTACCATATTCAATATCCTCCTTTTTAATATCAAACTGAGGCAGAGCAATTTTCTCTAGCTGTACAGGATCTCCAGACTGCCAGATAAACCGTAAGTCATCAGTTGTGTAACCAACTACAAGAACAAAATAGTAATAATTATAATCACTTAAAGAACCATCTCAATCAGACTAAACTCTGCAAGAAAATCTAGTATATATGTATCTTATTTCTTTGATTCTTTTTCTTTCTATTTCCTGTTTGAATAATTAAATTAAAAAAAAAAAATAATCCACAACTGAATTTTTATGTAGGCCTAAATTAGGACTTGGTGAGTGGAACATTACATTATCAGCAATATTACACTGATTAAGAGGTGTTTACTACAGTGCTTACTGTTTAAACAAAGAAACCAAAGGTCTGTTTTCCACAGCTTTGAAACCTCCATATTCATTCGTACCCTACTTCAGCAAAGCATGAAACATATACTGAACTTGAAAAAGGTTGGAAAAACTTGAAAAAAAAAATAATCTAACAGCACTCACAAGTCCTAGTAACTTCAAAAGAATTTAACAACTCAATTATTGTGATGAATCTTGGCTTTTGTGTAAAACAACCTTTATGCTTAGTTGTTCATAATAAGGGCCCTGATTCACAAAAGTGTTAGTATTCAGGAAATGCTTGTCGAGGAATTTAAGTGGACGCTTAGTCCTCCTGAAATCGATTCACTGCCTCCATGATCTCCTGAGTATGGACAGGCTCCAGCACACACCTGTGTGTCTAAATCATGATATATACACCCGCACCAAGTGAGAGGCAGTGAAAGTTAGGCTCACAATATTAAAGTATAAAGCAGTATTGATTAAATATGCATAATCATAATCATGATTTTACATGCAATTTTTCTGCTGCCTTCTGTTTATTAAGGATTAACTTAATTCAAACAGAGGTAATGTGTTAAATGGGAACAGATTGGGGAAACATAAAAAAGACGGAGTTAGAATGCTGTGGTTTGCAACTCAAAACCTCTGAAAAATGTTTAAAGTAATATTCTCTTTCTGGAGGCATTAGACAGATTTTTTTTTATCTTTGAAAAATAGCTGTGATTAAAAAAGCTTAGTTAGTTCATAAACTAACTTCTCTAAGATTCACAACAACTTAATAAAAATCACAGCGTCTCAGAGCTCCATGGTGGAAGATAATACCAAAAAAAATCAGTCCTTTTAATGCTTCGATCATAAAATCGGTCTCACCTCCTTACAACATACAGCAAAGAACAAAACTGTGAAGATGCCCTATGATGATAATTACCGGATAGTGAAAATTTTGTCTATAGGGAATGTGTAGAAGTGGAGATCATAACTGTAGCTATGAGAACAACTCAGTAAACCTGGTGGCCTTTTTTTTGTTTTGGAAATCTAGAAACAAAATATTGATTTGAAAATAATTTAGGTAGAATAAAACTGCCAATGGCTAACAGGGAATGCAAGCCCAGTGTTGGAACTGGAGGGATGGCCAGGAGGTCATGGGTATCATTCTTACTTTTGTCAACTGAATTTAAAAGTATAAGAAAGTTTAGAGCACACTGTCTTTCCAAAGGAGCAAATTCCTTCTGAATTTGAGTATGTCAATTTAGCATGCAGAGAGACAATAAGTTTGTTTAAATAAAGTTATTGAGAATTTTTTTTATGAGTAGTTCTTCCTTGAATAAGTATACCTTGCAATGCTCGTAAAGCAACCCAGACTGAGATAGCTTGAGCAAACTTCCATTAATATTACTGTCTAATTCCAGTTTAACCCCAATCTGATTTGGATCTATCCTGAGAGTTTACTTCAGCTAATGTATATACATATTAATGATGGGCAAAACTACTATGGACAAAGGTAAATGCTGGCAATCAGAAACTAAATTGTAAAGCTCTGATATTATTATTATTATTATTATTATTATTATTATTATTATTATTATCCTTATCCTCACAGGGATGCCCTGCTCAGCTTTGATTGACCTTTCTCTTTCTTCGCTTTTGTCTTCCCCTCCCTAACCTCACCTTCCCCACCAGACCTGGTGGAGTAACAACCAAAGTTTTTGTGGAATAGCAGGAATGGGCTGGAGCAAGCCACCTTGCTTCTCTCTGCTTCACACTTGTTCTTTTCAGGAAAACAGAGTGACCATGAAAGCGGGATCACCAGGGATCGGAGTCTAGGGAAAAGGCTGTACTTGAGTAGGCACCCTTGTACTTGGGGAACAGGGAAGAAGACGGGTTTCAGAAACATTTTGGCTGTAACTTCCAGCATGGCATGAAACCCTTCGGAGATGAGACCTGGAGGCCCCTTTGTAAGATTAAATCATCTAGAGACCAGGGAAAGATTGGTAAGGGAGAAATACCTGACTACATCCACAACACGTCTTGAAACACTATCAAAAGGTTTCATACTAAATGCTTTCAATGTATTGGCATCAAATACATTTCCTTTAGTACCCTACCAAAAGAGTTTCAAACAATACCATGCATCTTCAATGCAAGGGGATAAACTGGACTCCAACAACCTACAAAGCCACACAAGCTGTCGAAGTTACAACTACCTGGGGAAATCATGAACTCTGTTTCAGTTTCAGTTATCATTATGTTTGATAGCAAAAGCTAAAAACAGCGTGCATGGTGCCGTAACTGTAAGAAACATTTTTGATAGGGAAATGTACATTGGTAGGAACCAGTGAATATGAATTTCAAGAATCATTAAAAATATTGACATGAACAGTACAGAATTGATCATTTTTTGTTTGACTCTCAGGCATGCCTAGAAGGCAACTGTTTTTATGCACAGACTGCTTTACATACAGCTTTCCAATTGCATTTTGCAGCGCTGCGTATCCATAGGGAACAAGGTCAAGTCCAAAGGGCATGACAGAGTAATAGACAACCTGAAAATAGAGAAATGGAATTTAAAAACAATGTAAGCTGCCATAGTAGACAGTGGTAAGAAAAAAAATCCCAGATATTTGATTTTCAGCTTCTCAAAAAACCAGAAAAATATAAGTTATAATAAGTAGCATTTTGAAACTGAGCTATCTCTAGAAGTCTGAGAATAAAATTTTATAGAGAGTTTTAAACATATAGTTCTCTAATAACAAATTAGAGAACTACTAATACATGAAAAAATGCATCCAAGTCATAAGAGCAACCAAACCAAAGGTCCATACAGAACAGTGTTCTGTCTCCAGCAGTGGCCAATGGCAGATTCCTCAAGAAGAATATGAGGCTACTGCAATCAGGAAATGATATTTCACCAGATATCCACCAGCCTCCCAAAAGTTGCACCTCAAGGACTTCCTAAACCAGAAGTGATGCTTCAGTATTTAAGGGATCTTGACAGATATTTTTACCTCCAAGAATCACAGAATTGTAGGGGTTGGAAGGGACCTCTGGAGATCACCTAGTCCAACCCCCCTTGCCAAAGCAGGGTCACCTAGAGCAGGCTGGACAGGAACACATCCAGGTGGGTTTTGAATATCTCCAGAGAAGGAGACTCTACAACATTTCTGGGCAGCGTGTTCCAGTACTCTGTTAGCCTCAAAGTAAAGAACTTTTTCTGCATCCTCAGATGGAATTTCCTGTATTCCAGCTGTGTCTGTTTCCCCTTGTCCTGTCACCAGGCACCACTGAGAATAGCCTGACTCCACTCTCTTGACACCCTCCTTTTAGATATTTGATGAGATCCCCTCTCAGTCTCCTCTTCTCCAGGGTAAACCGACCCAGGTATCTCCTCATAAGAGAGCTGCTCCAGTCCATTGATCATCTTTGTAGCCCTCTGCTGTACTTTCTCCAGTAGTTCTCTATCCTTCTTGAACTGAGGGGCCCAGAACTGGACACAGTACTCCAGATACGGCCTCACCAGGGCACAGTAGAGGGGGAGGATGACATTCCTCAATGTGTTAGCCATACCCTTTTTAGGAAGCTAAAGCAGCTTTAATTCAAGTTGCTTTCTGGAATCTGTGTAAACTCTAATCATGCTTAGTATCCTGAAGCAAGGAATGCCATAGATAAGCTGCACACACTCAAATCATCTCCTTTTATCTATCTTGAGCCTGTCTTATAGTCCTTTTACTGGAAAAGAAGATGAAAATCAATGTCCATCCATTCTCTCTGTGCCATTCATGATTTAGATACCTCTATGCCACTACCTCAATTATCTTGTTTTTTCCAGTGTGAAAAGTTCTGCCTTGCTTAGCTGTTCTTTACAGAGGATGCTGTTCCATACATTTGACCATCTTTCCTTCATTCTTGCAGCAAGACCAAAACTGCACCTTGTATTCAAGATGCAAGTATATGAATTTATACCGTGGCATGATGTTCTTTTTAATCTCTAATACTTCCTAGAACCCAATTCACTTTCTCAAACAGTACTGAGCTGCTAGTTGACATTTTCAGAGAATTAGCCATTACTACCCAAAGGTTGTTTTCCCAGCTGGTAATAACCACCTCAAAACCAATCAGCTTTTATGTAAAGTTAAAATAATTTTTTCCCACGTGCATAATTTTCAGTTATTTACATTTAATTTCATCTCATACTCCGCTGCCTAGTCATTAGATTAATTTGTAATTCTCACTGTTGTCTCTCATATTTACTATTCTGAATATTTTGGCATCATCAAAAGCAGCTGCCAAGTCAGTTTTCCAGATGATTTATGTTGAACAGCACAGGAATCAGAAGAGATTTTTCTGCAGGACTCTACTGCTTACTTCCCCTCATGTGAGCACTAGCTGTTTATTCCTACATTCAGTTTCCTAATTCTTAACTATTTATGCAGGCAAGAGCTTTCTCTCACATGCATTTTGTCATTCACATATTTTGATAACTGGACATTCTTTCATTTATATGTGATAATATCTCTGTAAACTAAAAATACAAGGTATAGCAATTATATGTTTTAAAAAATGAAAATCTTAGTAGCATGAAACCAAACCATAGTGCCTCAAAAAATTAATCTTACTGGCATACACGTTAGTTATGAACATAGTCTATTATTAAAATCAACAGAATACATTCAGAGGAAAACTTTAATTTCAAACTTTATTGAATTTGGTTTTGCTATTTGGAAGATTTTAGAGAATTTTTTTCCATCAGAAACACTTCTACGAGTGTTCACTCAATATTCATTATTCTCTAACCTAACCTATTGACTAATATAAGTTCATTTATGAATAGCTGCAACTAGGACAAGAGGTAACGGGCACAAACTTGAACATAGAAAGTTCCACCTAAACATGAGGAGGAACTTCTTTACTTTGAGGGTGGCAGAGCACTGGAATAGGCTGTCCAGAGAAGGGGTGGAATCTCCTTCTCTGGAGATACTCAAAACCCACCTGGACACATTCCTGTGCAACCTGCTCTAGCTGGACCTGCTCTGGTAGGGGGGTTGGATTAGATGGTACCTTCTAGGGATGGTCCCTCCAGAGGTACCTTCTAACCCCATATGACTCTGTGATTCTGTGATTCAACACTTGCTATTTCAAATAGGAAGTTTCTTTTATAGCTGAAATTGATTTTCTATTTTGAAATAATAATTTCTACAGAGTTCAAAACTTGCTACAGAAACAGTGGAAATCAGAACCAGGACCTTCAGAGTGAGCCAAATGCAATGCTTTGATTGCCCAATGTATTTTCTTTTCTGATCACTCTTGGCAAAAGTCTTGAGATTGAGTTTTCTCATCCTGATTTGGAATGGGCAAAAAGAATCCAGACTCTCCCATTTTCTTTTTTCCAGCCAATTTCTACTCCAGGAAGAAATAGTTCTTGAGACCATAATTTTAGAAATGGTTCTGTCTTAACGTTAAACTTGCAGTATATTAGGGTAATCATTTTTCCCTCTATCAGGGTAATATGTTCCAGTTCACATCAGAAGAAAATTCACCCACTGTTAGGAAATGAGCCTAATCTGTACAAAACATTGTGTCTATAAACTCTCAAGATATATAATTCTGTTTGAGATCCTTTTAATCGTCCCATTTGCTATTTTCAGTGGATGATTATTTTTATGGCACAGGGTATAGCTTTGATAAACTGAGTCAAGCCACAAAAAAGTATGTGTTAATTGCAATGAAATTTAACAATGTTTTTGTGTCTTCTGAAAAAATCCATATCTAGTAAGGCATAGAACTTAAGCAGGATTATGTCCCAGTATTTTTACAACACATTTACATTCACAAACTTTGCAATTTCCATATAAAATTAGTAAGTAATCATCACTTTCTTTAGTTGATGTAGAAATCCAAGTGGTGTGCAAATTATTTTGTTTTGCTAAAGGCTTTACTTCAGATATCTCATCCATTTCATTATGCTTCCAGGAAGCTAAGCACTTATGAAAAGGTTTTAAATTTCATTTCCAATAATACTAGTTTACTTAATGTGTTAGCTTAACATGACATACAAATGTAGATACACTTCAAATTTCTAGTACCTGCTGTTCTATCAACTGACATGCTTTAAAACATCTACATCTGATTTCTTTACAATTCAATTTATTGTAGTGTTGTTTTCAAAATGTCATGTAAAGTTAAATATTAGTCAGAAACTAGAATACGTTACTAAGTCCAACACAGCATATATATTTCATATCAAGTAATTTGAAAAAAAAAGTAGAAATATATCAATAAAATACCTCATGCTGACTAGGACATCTCCATCCCGAAATATAAAAAGAAGGATATTTTCTTGTGTGACATCATGGAAGTTAGCATTTTTTTCATTTGCAAAGAATAAGTCCGGCTTCCAAAGACATTTAAACATAGTTGGGTCCACTGTCAGCGTATCTGAACCTCTCCAATCATTGGGCAGTTTGAGTCTAGGGTCATTCCACTTCTGTCTTAGAAAGATGTTGACTCTATAATCCTGATGGGAAGAATGCATAAATATTAGAATAGCCAAAAGTCTGGCCAAAAACCCACGGAGAAATAAAACCATTCTATCAGACTCTGAAGAGAAAAACAATTTATGCCCTGATTTTCAGTCACAAAGATAGCAATCACTATTCAAATGACATTAATAAATGTTAAGTTTAGTAGACTTTACTGCAAATAGATTATGTCATGTTTTGAATATAGTAACTTCCTTTAAAAAAAGGACCAAATTGTCCCCCCCGAATCATTTTTGCATGCCCTCGATCGTAGCCCCCAGTTACCTAGGCACAGAGAAAAGCATGCAACAGGACAGAGGGAGGCCATAGCTTGACTACACTAAATTGCTGCAGGCAACAGGCACAATATCACTTCTATCAGGATATCCTGTTAGTGTAAATTCTGGTTTATTCTCCATTTGCTTAAGTGGCACACTGATGGCAAAATATCACACTATAAAAGCAGAAAACAGACCAGGTAGACAACAGATTTTACACTACACACCCAGAATACAGCCTCAGACCTTGTAACAGTGATTTGGGACTATTTTGGTAACTGAGGAAAACTGATTCCAGCTTGCAACACAAATACCGAGGTAGCATGTATAAAAGCAGAGACAGAATAGGTCTCAAAGAGACAAAATCAAGGCTTTACACAGATGAAACTTCCTTCTGGATTCAGCAGGACTCTTGCTCAAGGATGGACAGTAGTAGAGCCATGCTCATTGAGAACCTAATTTTGCCTTCGGGAAGTGGAGTAGCATGTGTCTCAGGGCAAAACGATACCCGCGCGCGTTCTGTCCTTAGTGAAAGCTGTGTGCATCCAAAGGAAAAATCTGACCCAGTATGTCAGTTATGATTTTTCAGTCTTACCTCTAAGTCTTTTTGCTTTTTACATTTACATTTAAGCCAGTGCCTCTTTTTTATGTATATGTAAACTAGGCAGATCACATACAGGAAAAGAATATAAAGACATTGTTGAAATAAAGTAAAAAAAAAACCAAACCAAACCAAACTTACGAATTCTATATGTAACATAAATTTTATCTCCAGTCCTCCTAGTTGTCTTCTATTGTATGTTTTGTTTTTTCATAATTGTCTATTAGGTACAAAGCATCCTGAGACAAAGGCTGTGTCTTTTAGAGCAGTGAAAAAAATGCTACTGCTTTACAATTACAGCAAAATGCTAGAAAACTGTGAGTGAAGGTTCTCAACATATTTTTGGTTTCTCAATGTATTCTGAATAACAAACTAATTTTATAAAATTGTGTATTTTACACATTAATGCCCTCTTACACATTTTTCTGGTGATACAATGTGAGTTCTTTTCTGTTGTATTTACTATAACATATACATTTTCAGTTCAAAGCAAGTGCCACATTGAGACAGTCATGCTAACTCCAACTGGAAGCAGTTTGCTTGGCTAAGACCTCATGCAGAATAATTTACCCTGTTGATTTACCCTGTTAATTTGAATATAGTGCCCACTTTCCCATGTCCATTCCACCCGTCAGATCAGCCCAGATGTTTCTTTATTACACTATACTGTGCAATATTTTTCCTTACTGAATTGTAAGGAAAAGCAAAATATCAAAACTAGAAAGAACTGAGGCAATGTTTATTAAAATGCATAGTTCTGAGAGATATGTTAGTTGTTGGCAGTCTGTTTTTGAAAAAATATATGTAGTCTGACTTATACAAAGACCTATGTTATCTTGTCACAGTAAAGAAGAAGTATAAAATAATAGTTAATATGAATTGACTTTGTACTGGAAGGCTCTCTTAGAGAAGCTTCAGAGTAGGAGGGAATTCAGGTTGTTATCTCAGAAAGCATCTTTTCAATTATATGTATATAATTGAAAATTTACTTTACTTGCTTCTTGCTGAAGTTCCCATTCCATATGCACTTTTTGTCTCAGTGAAAACAATTACCTTAACCATATGAGATAAATACTGCATACCATTCATGCTCACAAGCATTACACTATTCATTACACCAAAATTAATTTCCCCATAACCAAGTGCATTACCCTAATTTTAACAAGACAAAATGCCTTCTCAAAGCCATAGGCAAATGATAAGCAGTGTCCAACATTTGCCTTCAGCTTACCCATTCAGAAGAAGGAGATGTTTACATCACTGAAAAGCAGAATGCACTGGCAAAATAAGAATTGGAAGTAAGATAAGGTGGAAGTATTTTATTTCCTTCCTTGTTCTATTACAAATGAACTTAAACATACTAAACAACCAGATGTTGGGACATTTTAAGACTTCATTCTCTTCCCATTTAAGTCAATGTTAAGTTCAGAGCTACCAAAATGACTAGAAACTTGTGACAGGGTGTACTTGGAGAAGGTGGCCACCAACACACTTGAGGCAATACGGAAAATGTAGAAGGAAGCAAACGGATGTCCGAATAGAAAACTGTGGCTAGCCAGACAATGATGTGGAGAAGGGCTTCTTTTCAGAAGATTACAACTATTACAGCATCTGGCAGCAGTATACGCTATGATCTGGTATAAATCTATTTTGAAAGAAGTCTGCAACTCTCAAATCTGGGCAATGAATTTTAAGACTCAGTATGTGCACCATAATTAGGCTCAATAGGGGTTGAAGAAGTGTTCTGCATGAAGCACATGGTCTTCCTCGTTTACATTTTACAAACAATCTTTGAATATCACAGAATGATCAGCATTTTATAATAAAGAAGAGTCAAATAGCAATTAAAAATCCTGAAACTAGAGGGAACGAAGGCGGGTGGAAGAGATATTCATCAGCATTTGAGCTAAGAGGACCTGGTAGGTAAAAAGAATTGCAGAAGAGTTGTACAGGGCTTTGGTTTCCCATGAAACTCCGACAGAAGGCAAGTTGTTTTCAGGGAGGTTGAAAGGGGAGGCATTCTAGGAAATATTTCAAATGCAACCTACTAAACAGTGGGCATGTGGCCAGAAAACCTCCTAAGGCCAGAAACCAGGCATAACCAATACATCTCTTTCTGCAAACTGGAGCACACAAAAGATCATGAAAGGCTTTTTCTGCATTAACTGCACTCATACAAAGAAAGGAAGCTTAATAGCACTGTCTTTTAAAAAAGTAGAAAATGGCATTTTTATGATTCAAATAAGGAAACTGAATTTTCCTTCATATACATAAATATTAAAAAGACCTTTCTGCAAGGTTTTAAAGTAAAGGAGAAGGAGGAAGTAGTGTTTTGCCATTTGAGTCAGTGAAAAAAACATTACACTGCAAGTAAAACCTTGAATATAGATTCTGTAGACAGAGGGTCAGATCATCAGCACAGCAAAAATATTATAGCTTATGGGTATTTATACCAGAGAGTGTCTATTCCTAGGAATCCTTGACTAGTCACCCAGTCTACAACAGTTTCTAAATGTGACATAACCACGTATTATCCCACAAATCTGCAGCCTAAAAACACATCTGCAAAATCAGAAGCAGAGTTAGCATGGGGTAGTCTAATGAGCTAAAAGGAAACAAGTTACAGGATTCAAGATAAAGGGAGCTTACCGGAAGGTAGCCGTTCTGGTATAAACTCTTCTCCATTTTAGCTGTAAAAATTCTTATTCACTCTGTAGTTAACTAATTTTTTTTTTTTTTTGAGCTTTTCCAGGTAACTTTTGTGATACTTGTGTGAAAACATTGCAATTCTCTCAAATATTCAGTGACACAACATGAACATTACCCTCCCTAGAGACAGAGCAAACATTCATCCTTCAGTTTCTTCACAAGTGCTTGACTAAAGCAACACAGGCTTCTGGGCGTAGGAGCCACACTACGGGTCTTACCTTGCTTCAAACCGATCTACTTCAAGCCTGTTGATGATTTTCTATAAAAGAAATTCTCTTCTCTCTTAAAACTAGGTAAACTCTACCTCAGTAAGAGGTAAGCTCTACTCTTTTTTGCTGAGGACAAGCCAACTGTATAGCTAAGAATTCAATAGTCATGGGACCAGAAGGATAGCAAGGAAAAATTGATTAAAAATAATTTTGTGGGATTCCTGAAATATGTAAGGAACTGTTAGAACCAGTCACCATTATGTCAAGGTGAGGACACCGTGGGAGCCTGATGACTAGTTAGAAGTCCCAGACATTATGCCCAGAGCTGGCTACTTCACAGAAGGGCTTAAAGTTGGGATACAGCACATCTTGTTGAAGATATTTCCTTCTGTGTCTCTTTAACATCCTTCTGAGGGAAAGCAGATCAGCGTACCAAATGAGTTTCTCTCACTGGCACTCATTTGTTTGTAAAGCCTTCTACCACCACCCCACTTCCAATCACCTGGCACCCATGGTTATTTTTCTCCAGCTTTCCATCACCAAAAAGAAGGAATCACCCCTTTAGCATGGCTAAAACAGGATGCTTTACCCACACATATTTTGTGAAAACCTACAAATTCAGCTATTACTGCCAGAAGTGGCTACAGAGCCAAGAATCACCATGATACTTCACGGACTGAAATACTTAGAAATATATTATTTCACAGATTTTGGTATCAGTAATGGTATCACTCCAACCAATTTAGTAGCTTCTGGTAACATTAGAGATAGTCAAGAAATCAACACTCCTCATAATTGACACCAACGCCTGAGACAGTAGAGCTGCAGATAGCCACTCTCTTCTCCAACACTGAGGAATCTTTTTCAGCAGTTTTGTTACTGCCTGCAAACATATCTCCTTTCTGAATGCAAGAAGCCCCTCTGGTCCTTCACAGAGTTGGTGCCTCAGCTGCAGGAAACACTTTTCCTGTGATTCTGGAGGGTTTTTTCCTAGTCTAAGGGACTTGCTTCTACTGTCTAGTGCGTTACTCAGATCATCTGAAGACAAGTACCAGGCTATCCCCATGAAAGCAGTGGTTCCTGAATATCCACAGGACCCTATGCCCACTGTGGCAGGAAGAGTTTCCCAAGTGATATATGGAAAAACAGATTGACTGTTTCTTTTGTCAGTGCTTCCTGCGACACATTAAGGCAACAGAGAAGTAACCCAAACTTCACATACACATGCTTAGCTATCATGGTGATTGGCTGGACGTAGAAAACTAAATAAAAGCATAAATTAAAGTAAGGATGGTGTCTGAAGTCCTGAAATAAGGAGAAGAGCATGACTTATCTTACAGAACATCTTAGTAAACTTGTGAGTGTCCATAACAGGAATTCACAGACAGTCACACACGCATTGATGTACAGAGCATACTTAATTTTTTGGGGGCAGGGGGGAAGCACACCTCTTACATTCATGTTTTGTTACCATTTGGATCTGGGTAAATTGTAAAAAAGCCTCTGTAAAAGTCACTTTTTAAAGCATGCAATAAATTTCTGGAACTTGAAAGGGCCATCTGGCCTAATATACCTGCCATCTTAGACACTTATCTTACTCCTACTTTCCTGCTCTTCCTCCCTGCCGCTCTTTAAACTTCAATCCCCTTTATGATTTCAGGAAATAAATCTCGGGGTATCTTCAGCATACTTACATTCTTTGTTTCAATATCTCTTCCCACTAAGGCTATTAGTTGACTTCCTACAATTTGCAATCAAATCTAAATCTTTATTCACTCCCAGTCAAAGAAACATAAATTTCTGGCCAAGCTGTTCAAAAGCTGCTTCAGCCATCACATATGTTTAACTTTGAGTGGCTCTGCAGTCCTACTGAAATGTCATTAGGGTATAGTGTAGGCTGGTTTTGAATTTTAAGTGGGTACTTACTTCCACTGACAACAAAAGGTGTTTTATTACTTATTAGCTGTATTATGGTTTATTGCTTCTGTGCTATTATGAGTAGGAATGCTGCCTTAGTCACAGCATTAAAAAAAGCAGCCTGGTTTGGGGAACTGCCTCAATGTTTTGGATGGAGCAGGTCACCAATGTTATTTCTAAATGGGAGGCTCAGGTAGTGCCTCAGAACTCCCACGCTAGTGCATGTCCTGGCTGTTGCTTCCCACGTCCTGGCAAGACATGGTGTGCTCCCTTCTTTTTTACATAAAAGAAAACCCCGATCGGGTCAGAACATCTTCAACAATTAAATGTCCCTCTTTTGCAATATTTTTGGCAGAATTTATTGGAAATACCATAGCAAAAATATCTTCAAGTCCCCAAATACTTGGAACAGCTTGGCTGAAATTACTTTTTATTTTTTAATTTATATAATTTCCTATAGAAACAAAAAAGTAAAGTTTTTAATGACTATTTGGTGCTGTTATTGGCATTGAAATTTTCTGAATGATGTGGAAACACATTTTTAGAAACTTAACTCCTCAGTTCATCTATCTCACACAGAAAATAAACAGGAGTAACAGTATGGTCAATGATGATCTACTCTTTCACTCCTTCACCTTCTTCACTTCCTCTGCAATTAACTCCTATCTTCAGAACTACATAAAACAGAGAACCTGTATGCTTCAGCCTTATGCATGTATGTTCTTTTTCTCTCATATAGTCCTAGTATTTTCTTCAGTAATACACGAACCAACCTATGTATTAACTCTCAGGAAGATTACTTAATTCCTCTGAGGTTAATAACTTATGGAAATAAGTGTATTATTTTCATCCTAGAAACCATGGATTTCCTTTTATCTACATCAAATTCTAAAATCTATGACAATGTATGGACAAATACAGAGTGAAATTGGTAATAGGTTTATGACATAAAGCACAGTCAGTCTATCACTAACCCCATTAACTCAATTCTCAGTGTCTACAATCATAACAATTATTTCTACTTTATAGTTCATAATCCTCACCCTGAAATTTAATTTAGTAAGAAAATCTCCACGTGTGCTATATTAATTTCGCTCCAGTCTTACCATAGTTGTTTCTTGAATGGACCCAAAGCTGTTAATGAAGATGTTGACTGCAACATCGACTGGAATTCCTTTAAAAACAAGAAAAAAGATTTCTAGTGAACTGCACGATCCAGTAAAGGTATGTTATCTTTCATTGAAGGTTCCTTTATACTGGTATCACAATGTGAAATGTTTTTTTATAGGGTCATACAACTTCATCTTTTCAAGTTAGTATATACACAGTTTTCAAAAGCTGTGGTTTAATCTATTTCCATTGAAAGCCAACAGAAATCACAAACCCTCTTTTCAATTTAGTGATAAGAAAACAGAAAAAAAATAATCCTTAGTCTAGAGTGCTGAGCTTAAAGCATTTCACAGATCATAAATTTGAATAATTTTCAAATTCCATGATTTTCTGTTACCACAAAATGCACAATCCAGTATTAGTTTTGCACTCATTGTAATGGATAGAGGCAATTCACATTTCTAGCAGCAGACACATTTAGTTGTCAAGGTCACAATGCTGACCTACCGCCCCAAATTACATGTTTATGATTTATGATGACACATTTACTTATATTGCAAGAGGATATTTCTTTTTGCAAGTCAAATACATAACTGTACAGTATTAATATGGGCAGATAAAAACTTTTGCATGCAGCCTTCACAGCCACCTAGTCTTGGTGCAAGGGAAGGCTGCTCCATTTTACAGTGGTTACCAATTTGCCAAGAGAAATTTCTAGAAGTCAGCAGCTGTGAAGATATTAAGATGGACTGGATTTTTTCCTCTTTTCCACAGCCAGGATTCCTGTAGTTGAAGAGGGATGGTGTGACAGCTGCTACATCTGCCCTCTGTCACCCTGCGGGAACTGATTGGCAGTCATTTAATCGGGTGTTAACAGAGAGTTATCACAAGGCAGGGAGAGGTGGCCTGATGGTTGGGAGAACTAATTATGGTCCACTGGTTTTATTTAGCACCTCTATGTTGAGAATGTCAGTATGTACACAAGATGCTTGTATCTGGTCTCCTTTACTCTGTTACAAGTACTTAATTGAGTGGAATTCTTATTTTCAGCAATAAGAGATATAACAACATACAAAGAATATTTTGACAAAGTAAACCAATGGAAATTAATATATGTCTTGCCTAATAGTTTGATTGTCTGGACACAATATTTCAGTCTACATTTAATACATAAATTCAAAGTCATTCTCTTGGTTCACCAGAAAATCCTCAAGATAAAATCTCACCTTTTTCAGTTAAACCAGTTTGTTATTTGGTTATTTGGTTATTTGGTTTTTTTGTTTTGGTTTTTTTTTGTTTGTTTGTTTGGTTTTTTTTAAGTCAGGCCAGTTAGATGTGGTGCTTTTGGTTATGCAATAAGCCTAATACTTTTTGTTTAGCACCTGACGCATGTGACAGAGCACCCACCACACCACTAATAGCCAAGAGTGTACTATCTCTTCCAGATTTGAATAGGAAGTGCCGTCCAAGAAAATCACTCATGTGTGAGGAACATTTTAACATGGGCAAACCACTTGTCAGAAAATGTTCTTTTTCTTCCACCTCCCTGCAAGTTAACATTGCATGTCCTCCCTTTTTCTTCCATCTTGATTCTTACCACACTGACAGCAGGGTTATCAAAACATAAAGGAATCTGCAATATGTTTTGTGATTTATCGTGCTGAAGAACAAGTAGAAGAGAGGCTGAAGATTTATTCTTTGTGAAAAGGCTCAGTGATGAAAACATATAAATAAGATTCTACAAAGAATAAGAAAAAAGAAGGGCACTTGCTGAGAACTGAGTTTAATACATTTATAAAACTTAGTTAAACCTGAAAGACGTCTGAAAATGGTCTCTTCAAAAGCATCGTCATACTATTGATATGCATGTTAAAATATCTTTTAACGTACATATAATTACATAGAAGTTTTAAAAAGAAAGAACTGACTTATGTAAACTGTGGTGTCTGTAGTACAATAAAATTGCCCATATCTTTTTCCAGCAGGGAATTAATCTAGTTCCTAGAAAGTGTAACATACAGCTGCATGAGTTATTAGAGGTTTCCCAGAGAAGATGCATTCCAATTTTTTCTGCATATGTAAGGAAATCACATTTGCATATGTGGAAAATTCCTACAACATTTGACTATCAGGGAGAAGTCTTAGAGTCAGAGAATGCATTTAAATTCATTACCTATTTGAAATCCCAAAGAGAGTAAGCTGTATTACTAATATATTTTTAAAGGGTTTTTAATAACTGTATGGTTTCCAAATAGTGATACTGCTGATCTCAGGTTTTATAAAGTCATCTAAATGGATCTCTACAGTGAATTTTGGTGGTTTAGAATACTGTAAAGCAGAGATACTGTTAAAGTCTAACTGAAATGTAGCGATAAAAAGTAATTTTAAAAGCTTTTTCTATAAAATCTAATTGTGCTTTAAAAAAAAACTTTCTTAAATAATAATAATAACAAGTAATAATATTAAAGCATCGTATGCTATTATGATCATGAAATCCTAAGGTATTGGCTTTTAGCTCAAAAGGAAAAATATCTTCTGCAGTTTCACACTATCTAGGGAAATTTCCATTTAAAAAAAACAACCCAAAGAGAAATTCAAGTTGAGAATATTATCTCTATATATTTTCTACATATGAAAAGAGCAAAAGTTAAATTCCAAAGATTAAAAAAAGGCTGAAATATCTAGCAAACCTTTGAAATTAGGTCTTATCCTGGGATCATAACTGAGCAATAGCCTATTCAAGATATTGCTGGTAGAATTAGCAGGTACTCTTGCAAGGTCTTCAGCTGATTGCTGGCTGTAAAAAGAAAGTGCACTTGTTACTATTGAGACAGAAACAACTGTGCGCTTAAGCTTAAGTCATTTTAAATGCATGCCATAAATGCCATTTCATGAGAAAAATATGTTTCATATTTTCAGGTTCCACACTGTGTAGCCTTCCTTTCCTGATGATGTTTCCATATTTTTCAAGAAACTATAACAAACATGAATGCTTTCCTATATGCTCTTAACTGTAAACTTGGCAGTAAATAAACTGCAATTCACTAATTGTTCCCTTCCCGCCTAATACAAATATCCAGAGGGACATGATTTCTTCCTTAGTAGAAAACAGCCACCTGAACTATTTTTAGTGACTGTCAGATTAGGAACAAAAGTAAACTGACAGGCACTTCGTAGGTGCCAAACCATGCGGAGGCTTTTGGCAGTCTCCTGCTCTCGCATGCCAGTGCCAGCTATTCCAGGGAGAGCTGGAGCCATTGCATAATCTCATTGTCAAGTGCTAATAAAAGCTTTGTTATGGAAAACGAGCCCTGGGACTCTCCTCTGGTTTTGCAGAGGAAATTTAAACATCTTCATTTACCTTGCTGTTATTGTGCTGGGTATAAAATTAAAACCATCACTGAAATTAAAAAGTACCTGTGGCAGGTAAATGCAGCTACGAGAGTAACATGAAATTGAGCATAATAAAAAGCAATAAGGCTGCATCGCTCCCCACCCCATGTACTTTAAGCACTTAGCAGGCTGATAATGTCATGTAAATGAATATATATGTTGTCTGTAGAAGCTGTCCAGTGATGTTTTCCAGTTTTGAACCCTGTCTTGTAATCACTTTTCCATCCATTTTATGATGACTACTCTGCTGGCTTACTGTCATTATAATTTATTAACCAAGATGCCATGTAAAAGACAAACACCCTACAGAGGTATGTCATATACATCAATACTGCTAACTCCAGCAAACAAATGTATGAACACATTTTAAGAAATGATGCTATTTATTTCCTGCATGGTTTCAATACTCAGTATCAGCTGCCGTTGCCTCCTTTACCCTGCTTAATTTCTTCTTTTCATTATCCCATATAAAAGTCAGTTTGACAAACCTATGAGTTATTCTTTATAACATCTCTGTTCACTGCTACTTTTCTTCTCATCCTTCAGTTTCCTTCATGTCCTCTGGGACTTCTGCACTATTCAAACATTTATTGAAGAAAACACTAACTCTCCAAAAGGCTTTTGGCCAGTTTAGAAAAAAAAAGTTGTACGAATGTATCAGACCTCCTGAATTTAAGATGTTCAATTATAGTAGCTCCTGTTCAGTATCTTCCTTATTGATTACTGGGAAATTAATTAATTAATAAATAACTGTCTCCATTGCATGATAAAACTGGAGATGAGACCAGATCCTAGCCCTTGCAAAGCTTTTATGAAGAGCCCCATCTTTAAAATCAACTGTTTTAATTCAAGCCTTAAGGGAAACAAGGAGCAACTGAACAAGATCTGCTGACATGGTAGCACTTACTAGGCCTTCACAATGAGATTTAATCTCTTCAGTTAACATTTAACAGCTAAAATGTTTATAAATTAAGCTACAAAGGAGTTCCCTATTATTAAAAACATGTCAACCATTTATAATAACATAACTGCATTTTATTCTATCATAGTCTCGTTGATACCTTTTGAGCATTTTATCCTTCAGAACCAAAATAATCAGATTTCTGTTTTCCCTATTGTATTCATGATATTTCTGAAACCTGAAGCTGCATATCTGCTTACCTGTTTGCTTGCATTTGCAAGCTATACATGAGGAAGAAAAGTATGTCTAAAATCAGCTATGACAGCAAATAACCACTCAACCCTCCTTGAAATCTTGTACTATTCACCAGCCATTATCAGGATTAGTATGAATTCTGAAGGCTACCCAAAGATGTAGCTACCAAAAAAGTGTCTATTGATGAGTATAGCTTAAACTATAGCATACAGGATGAGAAAAAAATGTGAAGGGGCTACAGTATATAATTCCCTGCCCATCTCTTGAAAGAGCACTAAAACTTCTGTGACATTTAACAAGTGCATAGGTGAACTACTTGTTCTATCAGAACTTATCCAGAGACAAATGGTCCACTAATAAAACAAGGAATTTTTTACTTTTAGTAACATATGTTAACTTCCACTAGTATGTTCTTATTCTGTGTACAATAAACCTCTGCTAATTTAATATTAGAGTGATTAAATAGCAATAGGTCTTCTAGCCCCTACAAGCAACTGGTAAATTCACCTTCAAACAATTCTCCCAGGGTTGTGTTCACAGCTTTTATATTTGACTTAGATTTGGATCATTGTGCAAAAGCACAAATTCATTTCTGTGATTTTGGGATTTGTGTGCAGTTTTCAGTGATGACTTTTACCAACAACAGGTTGCTACAGAAAAATAAACCAGCTTTGTTTGCTTTTTCTGCAGTTGCCACTAACTAGACAAGAGGAAAACATAAAGTTAAATGTTAAGATTATTTTCGATTTTGTAGCAGGAACAAGACAGGAAAGAATGTCACAAGACAGGAAAACACTCTGTACACTGATACATGTAGAGAGTTATATTTGATACAAAAAGGTTCACAGCATTGTTTCCTTGCAAGTCGCACATCTTAACATCTAAAACATCCAGATCAGATGCCCACTGTGTCAAGGCAACTATAGGGTTTCTTTCTAAGTCATATATGCCCAGTATTAATGAAACACCAAAACAAAACCAACCTACTAATGAACAATCTTAAATCCTATTTAAAAAAACCCCCAAATCAGCTGTGGATTATACAAAGAAGTTCATTAAATAGTGATGATGGTAATCTGAACATCACAGGATAGCATGAACACATACATTAAATACATATGCTTGTGAAACACAATGAGGAAAAAAGGAAAAAAGTCTAAGAAATTAAATGAGTGAGCATCAAACAGCAACAGAAAGCCAAATACAGCTGCCAGGTTCATTTCTCTCTTCAAGTAAGAGGAATAAGGCTGTTTTTTGGTGAGAGCTGAGCTCCATTGCAGAAGTATGTTAATACAAGTATCTGCTCAGGCTGTTTGTTCAGAAGTCATCCATGAATGAGGCAAAAGAGATTCATTGCACTGGGAAAATGGTGATGGGATAAAGGGGCGACAGCATTGCTTTCTGGTAAAGAACATCATGTGTAAATTGTTGGGTAGTGCTTTGGACTTACACAAGTGTCATGTGTACACACCCTCATTTATATAAAATGCAAGCGAAATACAACAGTATTGTTGGGAGAAAAAGGACAGAGAGTCAGTAATTGCTATTTTTTAAAGGTTACTGAATGAAGTGGTTTGAATGGCTACTGGAAAAACAGCTCTGCTGAGTACCAGTTATATTTTCACTGTGGTCTTTTACAGCATGCTCTCATCAAACTGCCACCATTGAATAGCACTCATGGGACAAAACGTTTTCACAAGGACTGGATTTCCTTCAGAGAGCCTTGCTGATCAAAATGCCTACATTTCCCCTACTCGGTAAATCTTACGTGTAACTTTTGGTGAGTTAAGAGGCCATGTCACTTTCAGAGTGACAGATAAGCAGAATGACTTAATGAAACAGGGAATGTGATGGGTTAGGTGCTTGGAGAAGCAGGCTGGGACTATTCATGTCTCTAAGATATTTGCCTAAAGCCACTACCACACCTCCGTAATTGTCCATTCTGGAATTAATTAATGATAGGGGAATGTGTAGACTGCATAGGAGAAAAGGAATTTGAGACAATATCTCTCTTCCTAAAAGAAGCACTACTTCCATTTGCTAATGGTTGTCTGATTCCTGTATGACAACACTCACACCAATTGAGGAGTTACCACTTTTTCTTATTCAACCTAGAATTTTCACATTTGTGAAAAGATGACAACTAGCCTAAGATTTCCCTTAGATTTTCACCAGTCGCAGCATGCATTGCAAGTTTGATACATTTATTTCAACTTACATTGAATGTATCAAAGCTGCTGGTAAGCATTAAGAAATGGAAACACAGTAGCATTCTTCACAGTAATTGCTGAATTCTAAGCAAGGTTTGGTAAATACCAAAAGTAAAGCAACACAAGTCTCACAGAAAGAAAACAAAGTACAGTTGGTCCTTCAGCATGATATTTCTGTAGGGTATGACTGGCCTCTCTGGTCCTTGGGAGGTTACTTCTCACATCATTGATGAACAAAAGCATGACTTTATATACCTTAGTTCACATGATATGTGGTAAGGTGTTCATCTCCTCTTCCACGGCAGCTGTACACATTTTATCACTGCCTTTGAATAATGTGGTAAGCATTTTAAATTGATGGCAAAATATAATTATTTTCATAATGCATTAATCAAAATCCAGAAGTGTAGACAAGCTGATATGCATGGCAAAAGAAAGCATATATTACAGTTGGTTTAAAATGTATATAGCTTCCTTATATTTGTGTTCAGCAAATGTGTCAGAAGAAATTATAATACTTTCTGGGTTATCATGACATTTAGTCTCTCAGTGTTCATTGAAGTTACAAGGAGTCCTTATCACAGGCAGTGCTACATGAGGATGACTGGGAAAATGAATATAAACAATATTCTCTGCAAGTGCAAAGGGGAAATTTTCTGTTGTTTTAATTCACTTACTGCCCTGATGCCTATTCTTCAGATCCCATTATGCTGAAGTATCTCTCATTTTAAAAGAGAATATGAATATACTTTTTACTCATGGCATGACAATTGGGACGAAAAAAAGGCATGTCACAGGGAAGTTGTGTCACCTTCTTATAGTACACTGAAGTCCAGACAATCATGCAGCATGCTTATTCTCTCATTGGTGTTTGCTTAGAGCTCATAGCTTGGATAAGCTAACATCAAGCTTTACCTTTGTATAGTTCTAGATTATTGTCTGACAGAAAAAAATATACTTTCTAATTCACGCTGTTCAGTTATCTCCAACAAAAATTCCTATATAATGCTGAAACAACAGATTATAGTACAGTTTATC